AATGTGTTAAAAGCTTAAGCTGTTTACTTTGTTTTCATTGGTTCAGATTTGTTTTTTGTTTGTGCTTGGTCATATCATCCAAACAAACTGCTTAGAAGTGCTCAAGTTGTTGTGGTCAGGTGGGGCGATGTGTTACTTTTTATTGTGAATTTTATGTATTCACTGTTTCTGAGTGTTTTTCATACTTCTTGTTCTTGGTAAAACAGGCCTAACCTTCAAGGGGTCCAGCATTTATGGAATTTTGACACTGACATATACCTCAAGTTTCAGTAGCACAGACTGAAAATGTTGGCCCTCCTCAAGGTCTATTAAAACTTCTATAAGGTATATAGTATAGCATGAGGGTGCGGGGGTGCGCGCGGGGGTGCGCGGAGAGGGGGACCGACCTGTGACGTCACTGTTTCCCCGCCGTGTGATGGTAGATTTCGTATTTTGTCACTGTCAAATGGTTTGAAAAAAATTTTTAATTTGAATTCGGAAGATTCGCGAATTTTAGACTTTAGTTGAAAACGTGGTGACAAGGAGACTGAAGATACCTTTGAAAGAGGGTGAGAGGCTGTATGGTGTGTTATTCAAAGCTGTGTGGAGTCAAGTGTGGATATAGAACAAACAAATGTTATAAAAAGCCTGTGTTTACAATCATCTGCTCATGGGCAGCCTCCACATGAGATTCAAATAATTCCAAAGGAAGATGATGAGCTGTGGAAACTGGAAATGTGAATGTTGCTGTGAAGCAGGCATGTCATGGTTTTGTAAACACATTTTATAGGGACTTACATTGACAGGTAGGAAGGTGCACTTTTGATCTATCGCACACAGGTAAAAAATAAAAGAAATTCCAGGAATGAAGACTTGGAATATGTGAAGCTGCATATATAACACACGTAGTGAAAAGAAAAAAAGAGAGTAGATCAATCAAAGATCTATTATACAGCAAAACCATTCCAAGCGATAAAAAAAAAAAAAAAAAATACTGTCTGTAGGTTAATCCAGGAGGTGGTATATTCATTTTACTTGATTCTTTGGGATATTCTCTCCTCGTTTCTATAAAATAAAAATATTCATATTAGTTCAATATATTTGTAGTGGGACAAATAAGATGATTTGCCCCAAAATGTCACTGTGTTCAACAATTTTTTCTATCAAGGAGCCCAAAAGAAAAATCCAGTAGCTTGTCAGTGACAATTTGTTTGAAAAAATGTTTGAAGGAAAGAAATATAGATATATTGTGAAAATATCGAATTTTTACTCATCTTAGGACGTTTCTGGACTGAATAAGCAGCAAAACTTTTGAAGAAACATATTTTGCATTTATATTTTCTCAAATTTTCAGGTAAAGAAAATGGTACAGAACATTTTGCATGACAATGCCATTTCCTGATGGGAGATGGTATGAAAAATGTGAAGTTGGAAGAGAGACATACTTATTATGGATAAATTCAGTTGGGAATAATGGCCCTAAAATGTCCCTAATGAACTTGAAAGAAACTGATTTTCTTGTATAATTCTTCTTTCTGCAAAACTTACATAGAAATTTCAGTTTATACTTCATTTTAATGAAACATTTTGTGTTAATCTTATAAGGAAGATATCTTAAAGTTATTTCCATCATGTTGCACCTTTATTGCATTAATAAAATGGAATGAATTGTGATAATGACTTCTTCATTGATTCATTTTCTTATCATTTCATTTTCAAAAATAATATTTTCCAAATTCCAACCATTGAGTTAGAATCATTCAATTTATCCAGTAGGAAATCCTCTTTAGTTGATTGTTTCTTCTTTCTCAGAAATGAAGGCCTTATCAATTTCAAGAATTTTTCTTTACATCCCTTGTCAGCATGCCCTTATCCACCATGATTCCATCATTAGGTTCAGACTTCCCAATAACATTTTCTTTTCTTTATTAAAAAATGCTTTATCAGTAGCTCAACCTCCATATTCTTAAATGCCAACAGTAATCAGTCCTGATGGAGTGATATTGCGATAAGAATTTGACTGAGTTTTTGTAATGTGTCTGTACAACAGGAGCACTGGGGAACATAACATATCTTTCTAGATTTATGTTCTCAGTCTTTTGTACTTGCTGCATGTTTTGGGAAAACAGTAAACTATCTTGTGAATACAAAAACATATAGGAAATTTATCAAAATTCACTGGATTGCACAATGCTAAATTTGTTTGTTTTGTTTATCACCTCCGCCATTTTCATTTTGCAGCTCGACAAAAGACAACTGGGGAAACAGTGACGTCAGGTCAGAAAAATATGAGGCAACCTTATAGAGTTAAATAGCCTTGGGCCCTCCTTGCATGATCAACTATTCAATCTTAAATAATGCAAAACTATCATCAAATTCAAGAACATATGAAACAAGAGCAAGAGAATCTCATATGACCCAATGTCAAGACTTGCAAGTTTGCAAATGAAATTGCTACATGAATCCTAGTTGCTACTATAATTTGTGCACAAATGACACTTCAATTATTTGCTCCCATGCAGGTATAATGGAAGTCTGATATCCATGATTACAACACAAGAACCATACACCTTGAATACCTACTAAAAAATAAATATAATGCTCTACCAGATGACATCAAATCAAAACCCACCTACATTTAATAATGGCATGAAAATATTTTTCCAACAAAACTTTTTTTATAAATAATAGCCAAACACCATGAGTATAGTTTTAATCAATGATAATTTTAATCAATAATAGTTCTCCACACTTTATATATATATGTAGTATTTGTAAGGTTGTTAATCTGTGGTATTTGTGTATAAAACAATGTTTCCATATTGTGACTTACCTTTTCTACTTTGTATGTTTATCAAGGTGAATAAATTTTTATTCCATTCAAGTTCTATTCTATTCTATAGACTTTTTTTTGGGTTGCCGACCACCGACCAGTCAACTATACTCTTTGTTTATTAGTGTGCTGACCAGTAGACTGCTGACCATTAGTAAATAATTGAACTATTTTCAAGCAATCATCAATTTCAAGGAAGAAAAAACATGATTTGAAAATGAAACTTCTAAAAAATGACACAAACACACTAACCTATTGGTGGAACAAAAACCTGATCAAAAAAATATTGTGAACTAACAATGGAGCAAAGAACCAGATTCGAAAAAAACTAAATTTAAAAAGAAAGTTGCTCAACTCAAACAGACTAACCAATTAGTGAAACAAAAATCTGATGACAAAAAAATTGATTGGTGAAAAAAATAATTGAAAAAAATTATTCCAGGCATTAATTTAATTAATTCATATGAATTAAGTCAGTGATTCAAGTCTTTTTTAAATCTGATGGCATCTGACATCTGAAAAAGGTAAAGCACCCACAGGCAAAAAACTAAATTTTATAAGAGCTGCTTTGCAGTTTTCAATTTTTCATTGCATGCAATTCATATTTCCGGCAAAAATAATATGTAGGCTATTAAACACTGAAGCAGAATGACATATGACCTGCTTGCAATATCTTTTCATCATAAATTCAGAGTATTACTTATTACAGAAGCCATGAGAAAAGTAACATCAATCAACTTGTCAATCAATGTGTATCTACATTATATTACATAGGTTTCAATAGTTAGTTTTAGATATTATGTATATAATGTATTCATTATGTTAATTGTTCTTAATGAGAAAACTAATTTCAAGTTATATGATCATGCACAAGATTTCAACTCTTTGGGTCATGTTTTCATGAAAGAAAAAAAATGTTTATCACTATTTAATACATATAGGCTGACATGTATGTTATTTTCAAAATAAATAAATCTAATGATGCATGAATATAATGCATGAAATTCCAAAAATCTATCATTTTATCACTAAAATGGCACCAGCAATTCAAATTGCTGGCTATATAGATAGGGCCAGACTGATTTCTTGCAATGCAAGATAAATTGCTGTCCAAAATGACACTTACCCATGAGCATGCAATGAAAATTGCTACATTTTTTTTTGAAAAAATTGTCAACTGTAAAACAGCTCTGATGAAGATTCTGAATAAGTAATTAGTTGCATAAGTGTTAATTATTTTTTGATCAATCAATAGTTCCAGTTACATTTTGCAAAAATAACAGTCTATACACTTCCAATAAGGAAAGACTCTTGACCTTAACCCTTTGACTGTGTGGTGGGGTATGGCATACCTCACAAGAAATAATATAATATACATATACATTGTGACTATTTTTTCATGCTTTCAGATTCTTGTTATACAGGTACACTGGTACACATAATTGTCTTGAATACATATTTGCTGACATTTTGATTGTTCATAATAAACAAATATTGCCCAAAACATGGGAAAACACATTTTCAGACTTTCAGAAACATTGTTTATTTTATAAAATAGAACTCCTCAAGTCAAATGACAATAACAAAATACAAAAAATAGAATATGGAAATATCCACAAATGAAAAAAATATGGTACCATTTGAACATGAAACATTTTGCATGTTCAAACTATACTAATTTTCCACAAGGAAAGTGTGTTCAGATTTATATAGGTCAGAAAAAACTCATCCCATCTCATATTCATTTCCAAATATCATATCATGATCTCATCATCACACAATCAATGGTTTCACAAAACTCCTGGACTCCACCATAAGTCCAAAAAGCTACCTAAAAAACTTGTGTCTTTACCCCATTGGTGCAGAAAACATTGTTGTTCTCTTGAGAAAGACATCTATAATAGACTAGTTGACTTTTTTCAAAAAATACAAGAAACTATCAATCAATTTTGTTACACTAACTGTGTGGTGGGGTATATAATAGACAAAATGCAATTGAAGTAACTCTATCAATTTTGTTACACCAACTGTGAACTTATGAGGGTTTCAACTCCAGTGCTATTCAAATTACAGTGATAAAGTGCTTATTACAATATGGGATATCAGGAAACAAAACAGCTATTGCTGAGGTATATCATACCCCACCACACAGAAAAAGGGTTAATGAAATGGATGGAAAATTGCTCACCACTGCAGGCGTTGGCATTTGGGGTCGAACCCAATGTGCAGGGGGCTGCGGCTGGGGGGCTTGTTGCTGTGGCACTGCAGGTCGTGCCCAAGGCCCCTGTGGGCCAGGAGCTTGTTGCTGAGGGGGGACTGCACCTGGAGCCATAGGGGGACCAGGTCGAGGACCTGGCGGGCCTGTCAACGGTTGTCCAGCGCGGGCTCGACCACGAGCCCTACTACGACCGCGTGGTTCCATTGTTCCACTTACCGAAGCTGCCTGCTAAACCTGCAAAAGACAAGCATTCATATATCTATATTATGTGTACTGCAATATTGCTGATATGAACAGAACAATCTACAGATCAAACACACGAGAAGAGATACCAAGAAGGTTTCGTTTACCTTATAATTAATTTATAATAACCTTTTCCTTGGAAACCGAACAGAAAATTGACATCCAAACCCAAATCACCTACAATCCGAAAAATAAAACTGATAAATCAAACAAGAGTAGAAATACTAGCAATTAGCAAATGCAAATGGCGGACCGAGTAAACGGAAACGAAAAATTTAAAACGGAAAGTGAAATAGCCAATCTGCCTGGTAAAGTGTTTCTCGTTTCTCCACTGAGTGTGTATTTACATCTGTTTAACACATGCGAGTAAGAAGGACACATATACATTGAGTGCATTAATAGTATTAACAGATTAACACTCCATGCCAATGGAATTCACTAAAACTAAAAGTGAAAACGAGAAACGAGTTCTTCCGAAGTTAATCCGATCTCAAAAATTCAAACAACCATGACATTTGGTATAGACTAAGTATGGACGCGTTCTAGACCAATCAGACGATTCGAACTATGGCGGTTAATTTGAATCTCTTTATCCTTCCTCACTCCAATGAACTGTATGTATTGCCTCTACAGCAAATATATCAAACTGGAATTTATGAAAACAGCTTCGAAAATGGTTACGGTTATGAAACAAGAAATCGAGGGAAAACCACTGAACTATACCCTTATAGTTCAGTGGGGAAAACCCCAAGAAACTATTCATACAGCTTCTGCAGTGATTCTTAACTTGCTACCAGTGAGATCTAATAAATCTGTATGATCTTTTGGTATGATGCAGCTTATATACTCGCTTCAGAGACGGGTGTTCCGGAAAGAAAGCGCAGAGCTATGCGGAAAATGTTAAGTTGGTATAAACTCCATAGGGAAAAAATATGACACATTGTCTCCCTAGGGAATAATACGAGACTTCTGCCCCTCTTTTGTTACCAGAGATACTAACTAGCTTCTACTTCCGCCGGCGTAAAAACACGACACTTTACGCCTTCAAGACGAGTTAATATAATGGTGGGTTCTAAAAGACCAAATAATACACACTAATTGTAGATTGTTATTCATTCTCGTATCGTCTTATACTTTTCTGAATAATTGACTAAGAGCTGGCAGCCATGGAGGTAGGTATAGGTATTGGTATACCTCCGGCTGGAATTATGTGAAATATGGACCCATGAGGAAGTGCTATCTGCAAGGAAAAAATTCTTGCTCTAAAAATATGATCGTACTTCTGGCTGAAAATTTGCACATTGCCTGTTTAAAGGTAACAGCAGGTAACAGATAACGTATGTTTTTTCAATTTTTTTTCTTACCTCCGTCTGACCATTTTAAGCACAAATTAAAATCGTCAGACGAAAATGTCACTGACAAGTCTTCCTTCAACGTTCACAAATTTCGGCGGCCCGAGTGAGACGACGTGTATTATTTACCTACTTTTTTTTTTTCGAAAATTTATTTTCGTTGCCTCCGTCTGACGTACGTGCTTACATATTATCGTTAAGATAATTTCAAGGACATAATTATGTAAATCGACAAATATATCACAGCAAAATCTCCGTAAAAATTGCAAAATTCCAGCTCAGCCATCACTTCCGGATTTCGGATGCGCTCTATATTATGAATATTCCTTCCACAGGAAATTCACTTTCAAATTGTCAAATATGTTCCAGGGCTTCTCTATATAGAATTTGGTCTAAAAACTTATTGTGAGCAAATAAAATGTTCAGGGCATGAAATTATTTGAATGATTTTACTGGTAACATTTTGTCAATCAATTGATCTATTGAATTTAATCAGAGATCATTGATGGTCATAAATTTTGTTTAGGAATCAATAAAAATACATTCCAATCGTTTCAGAGGTAATCAAAGCTCCATTTAAGTAAGTACCTATTTAATGACATCAGTAAAGACAAATAGCTATTTGTATAACAGGGGCGGAAAGTCCTACTTTTCCTCTCAGTAATAATTTCTGCTAGACCCCAAGTGTGATCTATTGATAGAATCAACTGATCAGGAAGAATCTAAAAATGCAATGATATACAGCAGGGTACGTATGCCTTTAAAAAATAGCAACTTTGATTCATTTCGTGTTTTTAGCATTCTCTGTATAATATCAACATATTTTTAAAATATAGCGCTGATAAGTCCCTATTGTCAAAGAGCTGAATGCTCTAGCCAAAATGTTTCGATCGTGTCGAAAAACGTGAATAACCCTGTATATATTGAATATAGTTTAGGTCGGCAATGCCGCGTATACGCTATTTCATTGATGCCGTACTATGACGTCACTTACTATTCCTCCTTAGGGAGGAAAAGTACGAATTTGCTCCTTACAATGAGGCCAGGAAATGTATACTTTGGATAGAGGTAGGCGTAAAAATGGTTAACAATATGCACATCTTCAACTTCAACGCATTTTCTAAAGTTGTCTAAACATCTGATGCGTTGTATATAGGTACTCGAGATAACATGAGATGATGATCATTTCTTACGGCGTGTGCAGATGTAAGAATTCGATTCAGAAGCTCATCCCTTAGATTTGCAGGTGTTTTATAGGATAAACATTTAGGATAGCCCCAAAGAAATAAATCGAGTAGATTTAAATGAGGTGCCCGAGGTGGCCAGGGAAAAGGACCATGCGGAAATGTGACGTTCAAATAATCTCCTACAGCTTTGCCGAAATGAGGAGGCGCACCATCGTACATTAACCACATTACCACATATCTATTAATTTATTTATTTATTCATCAAAGTACACCACAGAATGATATATAATTCCAAATGGTACATAAAGTATAAAATATAAGTTATATAACAATAAACATTCAACACGTTAAAAATCATAAAAACTATAGAAATATAGGATACAAAAAAAAACACATAAAACTATGTATGTACAAATTCAAATTCATATCACTTAGAATATTCACAAGAACCCTCGAACCTCTTCTAAACAACGGATCTGGGTGTTCTTGCAAAAAAGTTGAATATTTATTTATATATTGATATAAGATCCATAATTGAGCAGTTGCTAATTAGTCCTATCCATACATTGATAATCAATGTAGTTTTATCACCTTTGAAACGGTTGGGATGTATTTTTCTAAATGCGATTTTCTCTAGATCGGTACAAGATAACGTTTCGAATGAAGTATACTATTTTTGTAGAAAAACGATGAAGGGGTCAAACGGGGAAAGCAAAATGTCAATTTGTCGCCTCTGTCAAAAATGTTTTAATTGAACGGAAAGATTCGTCCCATCCTGTATAGAACATCATTTGACGTTGAGATGACAAGAAAACTACGGGAAAACATTCCTAACTCCTGACCGTTGATTGATATATTACGCTTCAATCAACGTCCTGACTCAGATTGAAAATTAGACAAGGGCTACGTTCAGCGGCAGGTCTGGACATCGTACATCAACTTTCGATAGTAGTATAGTAGTAGTAGTCGATAGTAGTTCATTTTTTAACAGTTTTTCAAAAATTCATTTTACTCAAGTTTGTAGAAATAAATTTTCAAGCTTCAAGTCGAAAATCCAATCAATTTGTTTCACCGCAATAATGAGTTTGACGAAAACAAAAATTTTTCTGATTTCCTCAGCTACCCTGATTTTATTATTATTATTTATTATCAATATCTAACGATTATCTGGCATTCCAAAGCCATATCGATATAATTCAAATGAGTGAGACTTTGAAAAGAGAGTTATTCAGTAAAAAATACCAGCTCGACAGCTCGACATACCTAATCTTTCCAAAAACGCAACATTTACAGATTATACAGGGTATTTGAGAAGAAAAAATCTTGGAAACGTCACGGTGAGCATTAAAATCAAGGGTGGCGATATGGGGGGGGGCGGGGTATTGGGGGTAATTACCTCCTCACACCAAGAATAATAATTTTTAAGATAGGTAATAGATATCATAGACATTTATGGCTGTTTGATTTGTGATTTGTTTGTCCAAAGAAGTTTTGTTTCTGATTCTAATATACAGGGTGAGTCAGAATAATACCGACAAACTTAGTATAAGGTTTCCTTGCCCCATTATGAGGTGAAAAGTTTCTATCAACGTATAATATGTTCTGAAATGTATCTTCTCTGAGATATAGGGTGTCCAAAGTACGAAAAAAAATTCCAAGTATACTCTTCCAAAATAATCAAGGAAATTACTTATAGTTATCATTTTTTAATTCCGTCAACCAGTGTCGTAGTTGTATGTTGCCGCATTTTTTTTTCCAATTTTTTAAATCATAGCGATTTTTTTAACACTTGTATTTTGAATGATTATTTCGGTTGTTAATTTAGCAAGTGATTGAATCGCAAGTAATCTGTCACCCTTAGTATCCAATATATCAATTACAGTTTGTTATTTGAGAAAGAGGTGATATATAATAATATATAGGGTGTCCCATGACGATAAGACAGATAATATCTCGGAACTCGCGAGAGTAGTATAGAGAATTGTGATCTTGAAGTTTTGAATTTGAACAATTTATTCGTGTACCTTTTTCTGATATATTTTTTCACCCAATGAGTTTTTTGTTTCCGGCCACAATAATCAGATTCATAATATTGAATGGGACAACTTTTATATTTATTATTTATCATGTCATTATTCATCCATGTGAAACGGTTTCAACAAACTATCACACTTGTCGACTAAAACAATTAATTTTAGGACTGCGCAGGTACTTCAATACCTTTTATCCTAAAGTTTTTTCATAAACAAGACACACAAAGTCATCTCCACAAATTTGTGGAGATGACTTTGTGTGTCTTGTTTATGAATCTATTCACTCCACTTTGAGATACCATGGACTTTTACCATAGACTAAAGTTTTTCGACTACGTTTCTCAATGATATATGAATGATTATTGTTATATTCATCACAACAAATATGTTAAAAATATATAGAGTGACCCTGAATTCAAATAATTTCGCAATTGCTCGTTTCAGGCATTTGTTGTTATCGTCGTGGTACAAAGGATATTGAGTACCTGTAGTCCTTGAATTATTCGTTTTAGACCACAATGTATGATAGTTTGTTGGAATCGTTTCATCGGGAGGAATATAAACATAGTAAATATACAAGTTGTCCCATTTAAAATTTTGAATCTGATCTGGTCGAAAATAAAAAGCTCATTGGGTAAAAAAATATTCAGAAAAAGCTGCACCAATTTTGTTCACATTCACAACCCCAAAATTATAATTTTTTACTATTCTCGAGTTCTGAGATATTTCCTGACCGTATCATCGTGAGACACCCTGTATATCATTATATCACCTGTTCCTCAAATAAGAAACTGTTATTCAATCATTGAACATCGTGGGTGACAAATCATTTACGATTCAATTACTTGGTAAATTAATAATCAAAATATCATTCGAAATACAAGAGTTAGAAAAAATTGCTATAATTTGAAAACCAGTACAGGTAAGCTAACCAAGATTTCTGAAAAAAATGTTCTTAAGTACAATTAAAAATATCCTTTGACATGAGATTCTGCTGTTCAAACTAAGAGATGTAGTTTATTTTCGTGTTAAAAACACCTGTGCATGGATCACCCGGTATATAATCTTTGGCATTTTCTAAATCGCTTTGTAGCGATCAGAAATTATTTACTAACCAATATTACTACAATTTTGTGTGAGTCGTTTCAAGTTTCCATGAGTGTAAAATTATAATTACAAAGAAAAAGATACACGCACTGGACGAACTTTCTTACGTTCGAGGTAAAATGCCTTCAAATTGGAAGTCAGATTTTCATCTGTGTAAGATCAAGTGCACTTTCATTTAACAGGAAGTATGTCTACAACAGTATACAGGGTGTCTCCAAAAAGGCTTTGCAATAACCTACATACCACATACTCCTCAAGCCAAATAAAATTGATTTGAGCAAACTTACCTCATTTTCATTTGAGGGTGAATTATGAATTCCGTATGGTTTTGATCACATTCATTGAATTTTTGTTAATCCGCGGACCTAGATTTTTTTCTGCATATAGCACCTTATATAGTCACTAGGGAAAGCAGAAGATACGTAGATATTGGATTTTTTTATAACTTTTGGAGTTTACTTCTTTGAAATACCTCCCAATTCTTATGAATACTTACCAAAGGTACCGAGAAATGTACACTCTTCATCTTCAAACTATTATTAAACGTTCGACAACATAATGGATTGATTTGATTACTTATTATTTCCACTGTCCAACCACGGAAAAAGCAAACACTCGTGTTCAGCCATATCCGGGTGGTTCAGCCATAACATCAAATCGGCCCGGGGAATCAATATATTCCAAAATGATTATTTTTCGAAAAAAATGTGTACTCTCATTTACAAGGTCTTTCACGTGGATGGAACATTAGAACTATCTTGGAGAACCGAACGACAGATCATTTTGAAAATTTGTAGGCGTTGATAATTACGAAGGTACGAAGGCCTGGAAGGGACACATAAGCTTAAAAGAATAAAACTCTTCTAAATTCTGAGTTATAACTCGGTGTCCCTTCCAGTCCTCCGTACCTTCGTACCATCATGATACCTTGCACAAAACAATGCGCGAAGTAAAACAGTGCTCGAAAGTATACCTACTTCGCGCATTGTTATGTAAAATATATGAGATATTTATATTTCAACTTTATGGTCCTCAATCGAGCAAACATCCATGAAATAATTTATTTCTGAAAGTTCAACAATAACTTTGTTTCATCTCTTGGAGCGAACGAAAGGAAATTCATATTATGTTCGTGGAACATCGTGCGTACCTAGGGAGGATAGGGGGAGGCCTTTTAAGCCAGTTCAACACTATTTTTAATATCAAGCTAAACATATTTTTATGTTTTGACGTTGGTAAAAAAAATATTGTTTGCAACTCGAGCGCGAAATACTTTGGTCATCTCGATCACCAAAGTAGCATTTCGCGCTTTAGATACAAAAATAACCATTGTAAAATTGTTTTGCAATAGCTAATCCAAGAAAAATAACGATTTTTCACAATGCAAATTCACAGAATACTGTAATTCTGGTCATATACCTACATAAGACCATTGAGTATTTTGAATTACTCTCGGGGATTCTCATGAAAATGACACTGAACCCCAATTTTTGTAAATGGAACACCCTGTATATTATTACTTATTTGGAAATTTGAGACATTTTACCATTTATCTGTGTATAAGTTCCATATACTGTATTATTATTGTTTCGCCTAGAATACAATAAAATTTCTAGGCTAGGACATGACAACGAAAACAATTTTGTTACGCAACCTCACCAACCAGATCCAGGTAGAAAGGTATAGATAACAATAATTTATTAGTAGGTACCTGCGCAACAGCTATATCAGCATGTCACCTGTTGAATACAAACATGTGTCCCCGTTGAACATCGTACCGTATCAGAAACCATAAATCGTACAAAATAGTCTTGAAAACATAAAAAAAAATTGACACTACTCACAAGTAAAAAAATTATGGAAACGTGCATGATTAGGTTTGATTATATCTGAGATTTTCAAAAAACATATAAAACAAAATCTATTCAAAAATAAATAATATAAAGAACGATAATGGTTTGTGTACTCACCCAGAGATAAGATAAAAATATCGATTAGCAGGCGCACCAGTTGGAAACAATACACCCAGGTGATTCACTATGCTGAGTATATTCGGTTAATTCTTGACAGTTAAGTAATATTTCACAGTGAAAATAATGATGTGAAAAGTTGTGCGTCCACAAATTGTGCAGTGATACTGGAATATATTTATTTGTAGACATGAATCCAGGTCAACATCAGCAATCGAGAAGGCCAAGACTTAATGAAGAACTTGTTATCGACGGTGTTTTGTCGACACAACCAGAACTTGGTCCAATTATACCAGATGGGGGGTATGGCTGGTTGGTGTTCTTGGCAACGCTGTTTTTTCAGGTACCTATACCTACCTATAGGTACACTTTCATAGGGTATTCTCTACTTCTAGAGATTTCGAAGATGAAATATGAAATAGATAATGTCTGTGGTAGTAGGTATAGGTAGTAACGTTACTAAGAAGCATTACTTTATACATACATACACATATATTATGTATATGATTTGTTATGATCAAAATGATCAAAGCAAATAAGGCGCATGTTCATATACCTACTTATAGTGATTTTCTCTGGCGCATTCAATGCATTGACATCATTTGACATTCGAGTTAGAATACCTATCTATATAGTGACGTATTTTCAGACGTGATTTCACCTAGGAGGATTCTTTTATATATCATCTATTAACATCAAAATATACACATAATATAACCCTCCAGAAGGCATAGATACTGAGTGAAATCACGTCTGAAAATTTGTCACTATCTTCAAGTCTAACTGCTTTGAAAACAGAACCCAGAACCACCCAGAACCCATCAACGATTCCCAGGATGCAGTATACGTCCATAAAACAAACTAATTTTACACTACACAATAAAACTCGTTCTCAACACGCTTATATTAGCTTGGTATGTATGTATGTATGTATGTTTGTATGTTTGTATGTTTGTATGTTTGTATGTTTGTATGTTTGTATGTTTGTATGTTTGTATGTTTGTATGTTTGTATGTTTGTATGTTTGTATGTTTGTATGTTTGTATGTTTGTATGTTTGTATGTTTGTATGTTTGTATGTTTGTATGTTTGTATGTTTGTATGTTTGTATGTTTGTATGTTTGTATGTTTGTATGTTTGTATGTTTGTATGTTTGTATGTTTGTATGTTTGTATGTTTGTATGTTTGTATGTTTGTATGTTTGTATGTTTGTATGTTTGTATGTTTGTATGTTTGTATGTTTGTATGTTTGTATGTTTGTATGTTTGTATGTTTGTATGTTTGTATGTTTGTATGTTTGTATGTTTGTATGTTTGTATGTTTGTATGTTTGTATGTTTGTATGTTCATGTATGTGTTCAATTGGTATCGGATGGCATAATTCTTATCTCGTTATCAAATCGCGAAATCTAGTGCAAATTTTCGCACAGGAATGTGCAATTTTTCATAATTTCCCTCGGGATAGTGCCGTTCGATGAACTACAATGTTTTTAATTTCCATTGGGACATATATATATATCATAATATCAGATGATGGTAGAAATCTGCAGCCGGCTCTCCTATTAAGGAGATGAAAAAAAAATCCTAAAATGTGAGGAAGTGCCCTCTATAGTAGGGTGGTATACCATGAGTCTGTGTCACCCGGTATATACTATATGTTCCAACTACGAACTATATATGTTGTCTACCTGTCAATTGGCAGGGTTGAGAAGGTGCCCTAGGCCCTAGGACAAATTTTGCTCTTCCATCCAATAATAAATTTTGAAAGCCAATGATACCTATATCTATATTGCATTATCAAAATTATTGTTTTAGGCAGTCGTTCCAAGTTTGGTCGCAAGTTTTGGAATATTCCTCGTGTTTTCAAAACTTCCCAGTTTAAGGAAAGATATTGAACCAAATCTATGGGATAATAAAATGTTATACACCCCATTAATGTTCATAGCCAGTTGGACATTTTTTGGTAAGAAATTCGAGGTTTGAGGTTCTAGTAAATAATCTAAAATATTTTGCATTTATTCGATTATTAATTTCACTATTATTATATTGAAATGATCCTCAGTCAACTGTCATCGTGGTATAATGGTTATTTATACACCATGGTAGTGAAGAATATATATCATCACCCATAGACCAAGATTATATTCCGAAATTCCCAAAGTAGTGGGTCCCGTCGTGTGGTACTTACTAGCTAATAAATTCTTTTTCTACAAACGTCAAAAAATGACGAAAGGTTCGCGCATTGATAACAAATTGCGAAGTGACACTTTTTTTCAGTATCCTACGTTACCATGATACCTTGCAGAGAACAATGCGCGAAGTAAAACAGTGCGCGAAGACCTACTTCGCGCATTGTAATGTAAAATATATGAGATACTTAGGTATATTTCAACTTTATGGTCCTCAATCGAGCAAACATCCACGAAATCATTTATTTCTGAATGTTCAACAATACCTTTGTTTTATCTCTTGGAGCACACGAAAGGAAATTCCTATTATGTTGGTGGAACATCGTGCGTACCTATAGGGAGGATAGGGGGAGGCCTTTTAAGCCAGTTCAACACTATTTTGTATATCAAGCTAGCTTTAGAAAAAAAAATACTTTGGTCATCTCGAACGCCTCGTTAAAAAACTCAGATCTCGATCAACAAAGAAGCATTTCGCGCTCTAGATACCAAAATAACTATTACTATCAAGGTGTATAAGTATTATATACTTTTTCACTATTATCAATAGAGACGGAAAATGTATTCAAGAAACGAAAAAGTCGATATGTTGTCAATATGCAATTTTAATCAACACATAAATGAAGAAGAAAAATTATTGATGCAATCGATTAACTGTCAAAATCTGTGCCTATACTAAGTGAAATAATTATGAAAAAATAGAGTGATAGCCCTGTGGATAATCGTATAAGAGGAACACTTTTAGTTTTATTATTCCAAATGGGAAGATCATGTGATAGGTACATGGCGAAAATAAAAGACAGATAGTTTCTGTACGAGTAGCTAAATTCGAAAAAATATGTTCCTATCTTAGATTCCTCAATATCATGACTAATTACTAATTCTCGAAGGTTTTCATCTTGACTCCGACAAGCTATTGACAACCTGCAGACATTGATCAGAACATCAAAACATTTTGAATAATATCGGTTTACTAATGATCTTTAAATTTCAAAGCCTACCAAGTGTCGATATATCATCGAATTCATGTCACAGCCAACTCATTCTTTTTGAATAAAAAGCAATTCAACAGCGATTTAAGAAATAAATGCCACTTTGTGATACATGGTTGGATAGAGAATCTCAAGGCGAATAAGATAGACTGAAGAAATGTACAGGGTGACATTTGAAAAAAAAAGTTGATGTCACTTGTGGTCAAACATGTGGTTGAAACAAACTGTCGTTAAGTTCGTAAAGTGCGCTACCATTTATTATATTCCCCCTGTGAATTTCAAAATTTTATCTCTTCAAATAAAAAAACTACAGGCTGCTACATGTCTCCTGTGTCATCCGGTATATATGTATGTATATGGTTTGCTGAAGTAGGTATTCGTATATTTATGACAATTCTGCTGAAAATGTTTAGATATCAAATGTCTCTACTTACTGAGATACGATACAGGGAGGGTGCTGAAATTTAAATTTTTAAAAATATTTTCAGGAATTAGCTTCCTCAAGACCAAGGAATATTTATCTAGCCGATTTTTCATTGGTAGACGAGAGTGGTTTCCCTTCCCCTAAATGTTACACACTACCGGTTAACTGGTCATCAAATTTTGATATCTCGACAAAGATTATCTCATTTGCGTGAACTTAGTTGAGGACTAAAAAAAAATGCAATTACTAAAATTCAGCCTGTTACAGTTAGGGGAAAAAGTCCCCTCCCCCTCCCCTACAATTATGCATCTTGACGTTGCCAGATGCTACTTACAGTATGTATGTACCAAATGTAAACCAACTTTGAAATGGGGGGGAAGGCTATATTTTCAGTTACCGTATTTTCGCATGGCAGTGTACAAACATGTGGAAATCTACTCACCTTTTTACCACCTACTGAATGCACTTTGAAGAACATGCAAGTTTGACTTTAGCTTTATAGCAAAATGCAAGGTGGTGTCTATATTGTGCTAGTTACGATCGTAGATAAACTCAAAGACTTCAAGATAAGCCCACACTTTTTAGATTCGCTTATATGAATGAAATGTCAGTAATTCTCGTTCATTAGTATATTTTGTTCTTATCGCATCGCACTCGTGAAAGCCGCGACCATTTATAAGGCCGTCTAGAATTTCATATTATGCTTATTATTAGTGTTTTTGTTCCATATATTTATTCAGAATGGCCTGCATAAAATGCATTATATCCACTATTTTGATAATTTCCGGTTGAATCTTCATATATCTTGATTCAACAAATTATACAGTCAGCGCAGATACAAGGTGATTTTGAAAATAGTACCTATTGAACTCAGAAATGAAATTGAACACATCGATATATGATTTCAGTCTGAGAGGAATATTTCCAGAATATTAGATTTTTCGCAACTCGTCTGATTTACGAGAAATTTTATCTTGAAAATTGAACAATGGAAAAATGTCTGCAAACGCGATATAGTGCATTCCGTACGAAAATTTTGTACGGTGGAGAGTGGAGACGACAGAATTGTACGAAGGTGCCGAAGTGCCACACCGCACATTCATTTGCGTAATTTCGACATTTTTGAATTTAGGTTCGTTGCCTACGTCATTTTATGCCACACCCGAAATTTCGACTTTAATCTTGAAATTTCGAATTCAAACTCGAAATAATTCAAAATTTCGACTAAAAATTTCGGGCGTGGTCTAAAATGACGTAGGCAACGAACCTACATTCAAGAATACTGTGGCTGAGTAGACGAATTACCTATTTTCTGATGAATATGAGGCTTCAAATATGACTATACTTATCAGGAGAAAATTTCATCATACATGAATCTAAAAAATTTCGAAAATGATGCAAGATGCAGGATGGAGGAACGAAAATAAATCTATTCAATACATTATTTAATACTTATTTTAACCTACGAAAGGGAATCCCTATAATGTTCGAAGAACATTGTGCGTACCTAGGGAGGATCGGGAGAGGAGGTAGATCTGAACTAAAAAAGTATGGTATGACTAAAACAAAGAATATAACTCTCTTTTTATTTTATTAAAATTTTGCAACAGGTCACAGGAATTTATCAACATTCTCTTATGACTGAATTGATGATGAGGTATGATGGACTATAGGTACACTATACACTTGACAATAATCAAGTTCATAAAATAGAGAGAGAATAGAAAACTCCTTTTGAAAAACTGCGTTCATTTCGAGAATTTTCATTGGAAATGACTGAAATTAGTGGCAACACTCAACCGCTACAGTCACCTTATTTTCTTATCGAGAAAAAAAGCAATATGCGGAAGTTGAATGCCGCAGTGAGGCCTTTCCACAGCCCTTATCAGAAGTTCTACAGGGTGATCCCTAAAATCGTGATTGATTTTTTTAAATGGAACACCCTTATTTTTTTTCGGAATCTGTGATTTTTTGTGATCACAAAAGTATTCATATAAAGTGTGATATCTCCTATATTGTCTCTTCATTATATTCACTTTTTTGACCGCAGAAAAAAATTGTTTTTCTGATTAATTGGTGATTACTCAATCAGTTTGGGAATGTATTCGATAATTATGCAACATACAAGAGTCAAATATAACACGATATCTGTAGAAGCCAACACAAAAAAATTTCTGGGGTCAAAAAAATTGAGATGATGGAGTGAATGCGGACTAATATAGAGGGGGAAAAGGTGTATTTTGGAGCTAAGCGGCGTCCATTTTTTTTTAACCAAGTCCTACGAATGGATTACATTCAGAGGCTGAAAAATCCAGAATCCATATTAGCGATTTAAAAAAACCGCTGGAATTGGCGTCCTCTGAAATAGATCTATACCAAGTTTTATGGAAAAATATTCAACATTAACGAATCTACAGCGTATGTTATTTCAAACGGCCCCCCTCTATACTATATATATATATATACTATATCTCAGCTATATTAGTCGTGCGATCATGACCAAATCGAGACCGGTATGAATAATCAATTTGATCAGTTTTTCAGAGAAGAGCATACTCTTTTTATTGAAATAAAAAGGGGTCGATTTTTATGAAATCATATCAGGACAACCAGCTTCATATTATTGCTTCTCATGCTTTCAAACCTCCATATGCAAAAAATCACCTTATTCCAAATTGACAGAATTGGATTGAAAAGGAATATTCTCAGATATATTTATGAACACAAAAAATGGATACATATACAGGGTGATTCAAAATTCGATGTAAATATTTCAAGGGCGTATTGTTGGGATCAAAATAAGACTTTTTCTTCAAATCAACATGTGTCCTAAAATGCACCCCCTCCGAGCTACAGCCCCTGTAAGTTGGGAAAAAAAACAAGATTATCTAAAACTGTGACTATAATAACGAATCGAATCTTCTGAAAATTGGCATACCCCTGTTTTTTTAGGCACTCTATTCTTTTTTTGCTCCAAAAATTATGTAAACCCAGTTTTGGGGGAGTTGGAGGGGGGTCCACACTTTTATTGGCCCAATTTTTATGTTCAAAAAGAGAAACTATGAATTCGAATAGCATAATCTTATTGGCCATAAAAAAAACTGAGAATTCGGTGTCCTGCATTTTTGTCATTCAACTAACCGTTTGCCAGAAAATCGTAATCAACGAAAGGGGGTATTTTCACAAACATTGGTTCAAACGAAATTTAAAATAATCCCTGTATCCAAGTCAACAACTCCTTTGGTCAATCAAGCATAGAAATTGAAAATACATGGAGGACATTATTCAAGGACAAATCAATTATAGGGATTTACAAGCTGTAAAATATCGTTTACTTTACTCCCAGGAATTGTCGGCCACCCCCTATTCAAAATTAGGTAGGTAACAGGCAACTGTTTATAAATCCCTCTCATCACCTCGGTAATGTCATTAAACACTAATCATTGTTAGTTGTCAGATCTTAGCTGGTTGATTACACTTGTTATTGCGATCAAGAAATTTGTTTAAGTTAAAAATGGAAAATGTGCCATTCTCTTTCGCTCATCTTGCTGACATTCATTTTGTTTATGGTCTGGCTGATGGTAACGCATTGGAAGCCCAAAGATTATACGGAATTAGGTTTCCTCAACGCCGACTCCCCGATCATCGTACATTTACAAATTGTCATCGTCATCTCAGTGAATACGGCAAATTCCAAACTGTAAGAAATGATGCAGGCAGGCCACGAGAAATTCGCCACCCAGTAACAGAGGAACAAATTTTAATTATGATCGACGAAAATCCCCAGTTGAGTACTAGACAAATATCTTTAAATTTGGGTATTTCCCAATCAACTGTGTGGCGCGTTATGCACGAAAACAGCTTATATCCATATCACGTCCAACGTGTTCAAGGTTTGCTGCCACGGGATTTTCCGCGGCGTTTGCAGTTCGCTAGGTGGATATCCAGGAAGTGCACGAGGGATCTTAACTTTTTATCTCGGATCCTGTTCACCGACGAATCTCAGTTTACGCGAGATGGTGTGGTGAATTATCACAATGTACATGTTTGGGCACTGGAAAATCCGCATGAAATAAGGCAATCCCGCCATCAGGAACAGTTCAGTTCAAATGTATGGGCAGGAATTGTTGGAAATGAGCTTATTGGTCCTTTCTTTTTTCCAAGAGTTTTAAATGGGGACACTTACCTAGATTTTTTGCAAAACGATTTGCCCGGTTTATTGGAAAATGTGCCTTTTAACATTCGTCTACGCATGTGGTTCATGCATGATGGTGCTCCCCCTCATTTCCGTTTAACAGTACGCCATCATTTGAATCTTATTTTTCCAAATCGTTGGATTGGTAGAGCTGGTCCAATAGCTTGGCCGCCACGTTCCCCGGATTGCACCCCATTAGACTTTTTTTTATGGGGATATGTGAAAAGTGCTGTTTATGATGCTGGGCCCGTGCATTCGGTTGAGGTCCTCCGTCAACGCATCATTGATGCTTTCCAAAACATAAGAACCACTCCTGGGAGTTTAGAACGTGTTCGACGTTCTATGCAAAGAAGAATGGAAAGTTGTATAGCAGCAAGGGGAGGACATTTTCAATATTTATTATGAGATTAATAATTATTTAATTACCCAATAAAGTTAGTTTGATATTGTGAAAGTACCCCCCTTTCGTTGATTACGATTTTCTGGCAAACGGTTAGTTGTATGACAAAAATGCAAGACACCGAATTCTCAGTTTTTTTTATGGCCAATAAGATTATGCTATTCGAATTCATAGTTTCTCTTTTTGAACATAAAAATTGGGCCAATAAAAGTGTGGACCCCCCTCCAACTCCCCCAAAACTGGGTTTACATCATTTTTGGAGCAAAAAAAGAATAGAGTGCCTAAAGAAACAGGGGTATGCCAATTTTCAGAAGATTCGATTCGTTATTATAGTCACAGTTTTAGATAATCTTGTTTTTTTTTCCAACTTACAGGGGCTGTAGCTCGGAGGGGGTGCATTTTAGGACACATGTTGATTTAAAGAAAAAGTCTTATTTTGATCCCAACAATACGCCCTTGAAATATTTACATCGAATTTTGAATCACCCTGTATAAATACATTGAGAATTCGCATTCTCCATGTGATGAAAATATCAATTCTTTATCGGTTTATTCAACAAAAAACAACTATACTTTCCTGGCTATATGCCACGACGAATATTGAATTACATCTATTGAACACACACGATAAGAATTTGAAAACAAAATCTTCTGAAGTAGAGAATTTGCATTCTTCTTCATATAAAGATATGCATATAATATCATTGTGAATATTCAACAGAAAATAACTACTTTTCTGGCTATTTGCCACGTAGTTGAATATCCAAAAAGAGAGCATGAAAAATCAAAATCCTCTGAAATTGAGAATTGACATTATCTCTCAAATCTCTCACAAACAGGTATATGACTTAACTCGAGTAAAACTCATTTCGGATATCATATCCTCATCAGTAACCTGCAGTCCAGTTATTCTTTCAGCCATTCTTCATGATATACACAATATTTTAATCAATTCAGATTTCTTTCCACGTCATGTATGATGAATATCAATTTATCATACATCCAAAAATCAAAGTCGATAATTCGGAATTATTTTGATCTGTTAAACTTGAATAAGTATGTAAAAATTATACGGGGTGTTCGTTTGAAAACACAAAGTTGATGGCATTACCAGGAAAACAAGAAGTCCTCCCTACATGGACGCACGATGTACTTCAAACATTATAGGGATTCCCTTTCGTGCGCTCTAAGAAATAAATAACTAGATTGGGTTGAAATATCCTATTTCAGTGGCGAATCAAGTACCTATATACAGTGTCATTCATAAAGTCGGCATCATATGGGAAAAACTTTTATTAATGACTTATTTTGGAATCCGAGTCGGACGTTAAGTTTTGCTTCAAAAAAGATGAACAATGGCCTACTTAATCGGGGTCACGTGACTTTCGCTACATGTCAAAATTGACATTTTTTCAAATTAATCGCTGAAAGTAGGCTTTTTTGTTCGAATATCGAAAAAGTTTACTTGAAAAAGTTGTTTCTATTTCAATTTTACACATGCTTCTCGAATTTGATCTTTCTATTGCAACTTTTAGATTTTGATTTTTTTTTAAATTTTTCGAAATTTCTGTAATATTTGAAGAATTGTTAATTCCACGAAACTACTTCATACCAGTAGCTTTTTCATGCTACCTACTTTCAATTACTTATTATCACTGATTATGGACAGAAATATGATTTTTTTCAGAAAATGATAATACCCGCTTCCAAATTCTGTTATGTTTGATGCAAAGTTGATATATCGTCAAGCATTTAGAAACGAAATTCATTTAAACTGATCTTTTCAGTACTGAAAAAATAAATTTAAATCAATTTAGTTTCCAAATGCTTGACTCGAACATAACAGAATTTTGAAGCGGAGATTATCATTTTCTGAAGAAAATCGTATTTTTGTCGATAATTAGTGATAATTAGTAATTGAAAGTTAGTACATAACATGATGAAGCTACTGGTATGAAGTAGTTTTATCGAATTTACAATTTTTTTAATATTACAGAAATTTCGAAAATTTTTAAAAAATATCGAAATCTAAAAAATGTAATAGAAAGATATAATCCGAGTCACATATGTAAAATTCAAATAGAAACAACTTGTTCAAGTAAACTTTTTCGATTTCGAACAAATATAAGCCTACTTTCAGCGATTAATTTGAAAAAATGTCACTTTTGACATGTAGCGAAAGTCACGTGACCCCGATTGAGTAGGCCATCTTTTTTGAAGCAAAAATCAAAGTCCAACTCGAATTTCAAAATAAGTCATTAATAAAAGTTTTTCCCATATGATGCCGACTTTATGAATGACACTGTATATATAGGTATTTAAATTCATGGAATCAGCAGAAAAGATGAGGATGCGGTTCTTTCATTCAATATTATCGAGTTTGATGTTTATCTTACCTCAAAATGCCTGAATAAATGTTATATTCTTGTGTTGAATGATTGGTTTGGTGATGATGAATGTCGATGTCCTCGCACTTCCACAGATCCCACCACTCGAATCCTGATTTCTCACAGCACGTGGCCAAGACTTGTGGCTACAGCTGGAACTTGCCTGACATGCGCAGGGTTGTTAATTTTATGGATGGGAATGGAGAGTGACGGAAGCTTCATGTTCGTTTTAGCTGGACTAATTTCCGGTAAGTATAATATACAGCATGGGTGGCCAACACGCGGCCCGCCGCTTGTTTCCTTGTGGCCCGTGAAGCTGGGTCGAATGAAGAAAAATCTTGACTTTTTGTCAACTTCTATTCAAAAGAGCATGAAATCATGCGTTTTATAACGTAATATTATTGCTTTATTCATCAGGAGAATTTATGTTCAAAGTCCCTCAAAATGGACCATGTTATGAGAGTTGTTATCAAAATATTGAACTTCATTAAGTCGAAGGGGTTGAACCACCGACAGTTCCAAGAATTTCTCAAATCTTTGGACTCAGATTATGATGACGTTACATTTTATGCAGAAGTGAGATGGCTGATCCGCGCGAAAATGTTGAGAAGAGTATTTGATTTGCAACAAGAAATACTATTATTCTTCGAAAGTAAGTCGAAATGTATCTCAGAGTTTGGAGACAAAGAGTGGGTTTGGGACTTTGCGTTTCTGGTCGATATAACTAGCCACCTTGATGACGTTAATACGCGTTCACAAGGAAAAGATCAATTAATTAATAATCTTGATGATCTTATTTCTTCATTTCAAATGAAGCTCGGACTCTGAGAACAACAGTTGAGGACAAAAAACTTCACTCACTTTCCAACGTTGTCATTGCAACCAGATGTCAGGCAGGAGGCAGCAGATAAATTCGCTTCTTTTTGATATCTGCCTTGAATCTTGAATTCTAAAACAGATTTCAAAAAACATCGTGTGCTTTTTTCTGCATTTGCAACGCCATTCGCTGTAGACGTGAATTCGTTACCAGGCGGATTACAGATGGAACATTGTGAAATGTGTTGTGATACACAGTTGAAAGAGAAGTACCATCAGGTTGAATACTGTCTGTAGGTTAATCGAGGAGGTGGTATATTCATTATTCCAAATTTTTTGGGATTTTCTCTCCTCGTTTCTTTGGACGTTTCGGGACCGGTTCTGCTCCCGTTTTCAACATAAGAAGAGATTATTTCAATAGCGAAGTCGTATAATGTCTTGAAAACTGAAAAGCTTCAAGACATTATACGACTTCGCTATTGAAATAATCTCTTCTTATGTTGAAAACGGGAGCAGAACCGGTCCCGAAACGTCCAAAGAAACGAGGAGAGAAAATCCCAAAAAATTTGGAATAATGACCATCAGGTTGGTTTGAAAGAGTTTTATAAAATGTATTTGGACAAAGATGAATATCCTGCGTTTTACAAACATGCTCTGTGGATGGTTTCGCTATTCGGAAACACTTATGCGTGTGAACAGCTCTTTAGTCGCATGAAGCATATCAAATCCCAAGTTAGAACCTGAATAACTGATGAACATTTAGAAAACAGTTTGCTAGTAGCAACAACATCAGTAGAAATCAACATTGAAGAACTCAGTTCTGCCAAACAAAGTCAGACGTCTCACTAAACTGTAATACTCTCAAATTGGCTCGTTTTCTAATAAATAAATATGTTTAATTTTCAGTTGTTCGATGTTTTTTGAGAAAATAAATAAAAATATTTTTTTCCTGTAACGATAGACTAGGGAAGATTTTGATCGCATACTATCAATGTAAATATAAATGGAGCGTGGCCCGGAGAGGAATCTTATTTCTGAAATTTGGCCCGGCTACTGAAAAGGTTGGCCACCCATGATATACAGGGTCTTGCCTATCTACGGTTCCTAACTGCAGGTGGTGATTCGTTAGGTCATTTTAGGAAGAAAAGTTCCTATTAATATATGTCCGGAGTTGCTTCGTTTCTGAGATACAGGGCGTTGAAATTATAGAAAAAAAACCGGATATAATAAAATATCATGAATATCCTAGAACCGATTTGGTTGAAATTTGGTACTTTTATTTGAACTAATAAGGTGCTTATTTAGCCTTATTTGGATTGAAATTATTGGGGCCAGTGGCGTCTCAGTGGGCACCACAGCCAACAATATTGTGAAAAAAAAAGTACGCCACTGACTTTTTTTGGTTAATTCTTATTTCTTCAGATTAAGCAACACAAAATACAACATTTTGGTCTCTTGTATTTTCTTCATATCCAGCTTCGCTTTCGAGAAAAAAAATCACAGGCACTGTAATGCATATCATGAACACCTGCATTGGAGACACTTGATATGCTGAATTTTTGAAAAAAATTGACAAATAAAAGTTACAAATTTCAACCAAATCGGTTCCAGGATATTCATGATATTTTATAATTACCGTTTTTTTTTTTCTTTAATTTCAACGCCCTGTATCTTAGAAACGAAGCAACTCCGGACATATGTTCATAGGAACTCTTCTTCTTGAAATGACCTAACAATAAATCACCCCCTGCAGTTAGGAACCGTAGTTAGGAAACAGCCTGTATACACCACATAAACAGGTACTTATCAGGAAGTACTAATGATTGTGGTTGATAGTGTGAAGAATGATAATCATACATACATACATGTAGATAATGTTACACCAGTCCATTTGACTTCAGAACGACTATACTTGCGACAAAATCATTTTATATCCCAGATAGCCCGATATGTCATTCATAGAATGTTCAGAGGATATCATCCGAGAATATTTGAATATGGAGGATGTTCTCTCAGTTTGATACTGGATGATATTTAAATATCCTGAGGATGGACGATCTTTGAACTTTGAAGATTCGAATAAACTGTATATGTGTATTATACATACAGGGTGTTTCCTAACTTGCCTTACAAAATGAACGGAGATAATCTTCACTTAATTTCAAGGCGAATTTATGAAGAAGTTTTCTTTCGTAGGTCGCTGAGTTTTTGAGATACAAGGTCTTCAAGTTTTGTTTCAAATTCGGTTTTTCATTTTTATTTCATACATGCGCCTCCACCCAATTTCGTTGAAATTAAATAATTTCATTCAACTTATTTAACCACTGATAGAAAAAAATTATCAAGTTCAGTGGCGCCCGGAGGGGCACCTGAACCAATATTATTTTCGGATTAAGCAAGAAACTTTCATATTTCTTGAAGTATTCACGTATATCTCGCTTTGTTATCTAGATAAAAACAAACCACTATATTGCATGTCAAAGGACCACACAAAAACCATAAACAACATGAAAACATTTCCTCTTTTCAATGACTTGCAACAATGACTCAATTTTGAGTAAAAAATCTGGTATATTTGCATATTTGAAATAAAAATAAAAAACCGAGGAGTTTACTACTCTACTTTGAAAACTTAGCATTATTCGGAAAAATCTATTATACGTTTAAGTCTCAAACTAAGTAAGGATTATCTTCCTTTATTTTCTCAGAAAGGTTAGGAAACACCCTCTATAAACTCCGAGAGCTATCGAAAAATACAACGAAAAATATGGGTGCCACATTGAATGACAGCTTTCGAAACTAAAAGTCGGATTCTGAGTTTGACAGCTCTACTTTGCCATCGAAATAATGTCAAATTATATCTGGAAAAGATAAAAAAGATTTACGTCAACATTTCAAACCAGCATTCATACAAAACAGTCTGGCTAGTAAAATAAGAAATACATGGTGTGAGTGCAAACATGTTTGAAAAATAAAGTTCATGTCTGATGCAAACGGTGTAATCACAGACAGTGTTTTGTTTCTCTCAAAACGCTTGACCGCAGATATTAGTTCTCAGTTGTCCGCAAGATCTGTTTACAGATTTCTTCCATGACAGAAAACAGAAAACGGCGCTTACACTCCGCTTGCACCAGAAATAATAATTTCATAACATTCATAACATAACTTCAAATCCAATGAGATTAAATTTGAAAGTACGGAACTGTGAATTGGGGGAATTTAAATTATCATCAGTTTCACCAACCTTGAATTTTGGTAGAGATTTCGCCATCTAACGGGCAAAATGCGACATTAATTCGGCGATATTGAAAAGAATCCTTTTGTCAAGTAGGTCGTAGGTCAAGAACTTTGACCGAAAAACAGTAGATGGGATTTGATAGGAGTTTCTACACCATCTTCTGTTTCTATCGCAACAGTTGGTTCAATACACTCTTTTCGTAACGACGTAAATAGTAAATAACAACCATACACCATACACATATACACTACACAATCATTACAGGACTACACCCCCCTGTATATAAAATACTATTTTGAGTTTTTCACAATGACAGCAATCCCTATTTCATCGAATTAATATAAAGAAAAACCGGTGATATATTCTATTGATGGCTTCCATGTTTGTGTCAAATTATATCTGGAAAAGATAAAAAAGATTCAAGTCAACATTTTAAACCAGCATTCAAACAAAATAGTTCGGCTAGTAAAACTAGAAACACATGGTGTGAGTACAAACATGTTTGAAAAATATAATTCTTGTCTGATGTTTCTATAGCAACAGTTGGTTCAATACACTCTTTTGGTAACGACGTAAATAGTAAATAACAACCATACACCATACACATATACACTACACAATCATTACATTACTACGACTACACCCTTCAGTATATGAAATAATCTTTTGAGTTTTTCACAATGACAGCAATCCCTGTTTCATCAAATTAATATAAAGAAAAAACGGTGATATATTCTATTCATGGCTTCCATGTGCGTGGAGGAACCTTCGAATTTTGAGCACGTAGATATCGACGAGCCACAAGTAACCTCGGAAGACCCGAATGAGAGAAAATTGGCGAGAAAACTCCGAATTGAAAGGAGATGGACCGTCATCAGAAGGACGATAGAACCAGACGTGGAAGTTCTTTCACACAGATCTCCCGTTCAGGTACAAGTCGCGAAAAGCGCCGATATTTTGGAAAAGTTCCTGCAAGAAGCAGACGAGTATGTTTCCAATGTTCGGGTTGCCAATGATGCCAGAGAAGTTGACAGAAGAGAGACCGAAGGAATAGGGAGAGAAAAAGTTATAGCCCAATTGGAGGCTGAGGCTGAAGCAGCTAAACAGATGTTTGAGGAAATTGCAATAAAATGGTCAGTAATTCAGAAATATAATGATCCTCTTCACATAAACGAAGACGTAGTCAATCAGAAAGAAAAGTGCGATGCATTGGTGAAACAGAAAGATGGTATTATCGCCATGCTGAGAGAAGAACTGAAAAATTCAGAGAAGAAATTCACGAAGGATCAGAAAAAGCAAACCGAAGATATACATATTTTAACTCAGAGAATAGAAAAGCAAATAACATTCATGCGGAGTGCTTATCAAAATGAATTCGAGTTGATTGAGGAAGTAATTGCAGCAGAAAGGCAAAATTTCATAGATTCTCATAACAGAAAATGGGAAGAGCTATATAAAAAGAGGCAACAGGAGGAGATAAAGAACTCTGATAAGAAGTTTGAACAGCTGGAACACTTCAACAAAAACATGAACAGGCTGCGTATCGATTTCCAAGAAAAGTTCAGGGAAACGAAAATCAAACTCGAGAATAATATAGAAAATCTACAGAGAGAACTCGAAAGAATCAAGGCTTTGGCTTTACTCAACAGCGAGAAACTAGATTACAACTACCAGATTCTCAAGAAGCGAGAAGATGAAAATATCATCATCAAATCACAGCAAAAAAGGAGGATGAATAAGCTTCAAGATGTCATCAACGACCTCAGGAAGAAGATAACAGATCACGAAACTACAACAAATAATAGACTCAAGAAATTCAGCGATGACATCAAGAAATTGCACAAAAACATATTGGAAGTAGAAGCAAAAGCTGATCACTTCGCAAAAGTTAATGACGATAACTTCCACCAAATCTGGGAAATGAATAGAGCCAATTGCCAGAAAATTCTAACGAAAATTTTGTCAACCGACAAAATTTTACACGAACAACAAATGGGAATGGTTTGGGTCCAACCACAACAGAATTTGATACAAAAAACTGCCTTACCAAGCTATAAAGATGCCTTGAATGTTTTGGATAGTCTTGCGCCAACTGCTAGTAATAAGCCAAGTATTAGTACACTTTCCGATATGGGGCAGAAATCGAGAAAACATACGAGTGCCGATTTCGAAGAAAATAAAACAAAAACACCACATCAATTAGATTTGAATCCCCAATACAGAAAGTTGCTCAAGTACATATTGACTCTAGTGTCTGAAAAATCAGGCTTTCTCACAGAAAACCGATTGAAGTCGCTGATAAAAATGTACGAAGACGACCAAAAAACCTTGGTCAGATTGGATAGCGTTTTTGGCGCGTTGGGGATACAAAGAGACGGCGATATCGACCTTTTGGTCAAATACTTTTTACCCTATTGTTACTGCCCAGTGTGTGCTGGGCAAGATAATGCTCAAGATTCTGCGATGTCCAGGTACGCATCTCAAGTATCCCATTTATCATCTGCGTTCAGCAGAATTGGTAATGATGAAGACTTCATCGAAATCGTCGAGTTGAACCAAGCTTTCAGCGCTATACAACAGCCGTACCATGTTATCGAAGAAGTTGTTATGGACTTAGTTACATCTGATATGTACATGGAAGACAAAGAAATTAATCAAGATTCTCTAGATGGGCCAGAAAAATTATGCGCAGTAGTTGTTTCAGATCAGTATTCTCCGGATGTTAAAGACAAAAAACAGACCAAGAAAAAGACGTTCATAATGGAGGATAAAGTATTGTGTCAATACAATCATCCTCTTGTGCTGAACTCTATTTACATTTTAGTAGCTTTGAAAGATTTCGTGATTGCTTATTATAAGCAGAACGAAGGCTTTCCTACAACTCGAGCGAGATTAGAAAGAAAAAGGCACACTATCTCTAGATTACTCAATATAAATGATATAAAGATGTTTTGGGAAAAATACAAAACAGTTTTCAATGAGGATCGTATCAGAGTTTGGGATGCCCTTTTAGAAGGTTTGAAACATTACCATGAAATTTTGAAGGAGCGCAAGAATATGTGCGAAGAGGTGGTTGAGTTACGAAAACAGAACAACGATTTGAAGAAACTCTTGGCTAATTATATTGACCATGGTGAATTCATGAGTTCTCCTTGTACACTAGACAAAGGACACCGTTTAATTGCTTCACCTCCTATATTTTCTGATGCAAAAAGGAAATAAAACTCCCCAATAAACAAGTAGCTACTTTGTGTTCTTTCATATATTTAGGCCCTAATCAATTATTGCTAATAAGAGAGACACATGGTGACAAAAGTAACATTTTAGAACCTATGATTAGCAATAAATTCTTAGCTTAGGTGAACTTTGGTGTGACCCAGTATACATTCGATTAATTCGGTAGCATATTTCGAGTTATCATCATCAAAAATATACTGGGTGACGAAATTTAAAGTCATTCGATGGGACGATTGAATTTTTATAGGGGACATGTGACGTATTATTCAGGAGGTCTACTAATCGTTGTCTATCCAACAGTATAATTATTCAAATATTTATTTATACAAGTTAAACCAAAACAGCTTAAATTCACTAAAATACAATGAAATTATAATATATGTTCAGATTGATGACTTTCATCAATGATGCAATATGCAATATGGAAGCTGGGCCGTATATTCTTCTATAACGTTTTCGAGAACTCCAGAGGTTTTTTGTGCAGCCTCAGTTCTGATGCGTTCTTTCAATATTATTTTATGTCCACAGATTAATTTCAAATTAGAGTGTGGAACTTTTTTCAATACATGTATTTATTTTCTGCATATCAACAAAAACGATTGGAAACACTACGATATTTCATTCACAGTGGCGGTTCTTAGTATATTTTATTTCAACGAATAGGCATTTTTTGTAACTTCAAAACATAATTTTGGATGACCCTGTAGTTGTTAGAACAATTATATTATCGGATATTTGTTTTTTGAAAAGATCGTCCAGTACGTCATTACGTCAACACCGGTGACGTAACGTGTCATATGGATGTCATGAGATGTGGATTCAAAAATTAAACAAATGTTTTTGGATTTCTGCATAAGTCGCCTATTTTTGAAATCATGAATTTATTCCATGCATCTGTATCATACCGCATAATGATGATTGAAGAACAATGTTTTTTTTTAAATGCATCACCATATTTATAATACTATACAGGGTGTCCCATTGGGAAACAGAAAAACTTCAACAGTGGGTAGAGCTCATCAAGGTGGTTCTGAATATACCATATTTGTAGGGTCTCGCAAGTTTTATATCCGATATATAGGGTGTTTTATCAATTTTGTTCATTTCTTCGTGAGGCCATAACTTATTTACCACCCAGTACATTCAATTGGAATTTGGTACACCATTTCGCCTTCTTCCACCAAAGCGACGATATTCGAATTCCCAAAATCCACACATATTTGGGAAGTGCGTGAAAATCGATATTCGAATTTCCAAAATTCACTCACATATTTGGGAAGTGCATGAAAATCTGAATCGTATGATGTACTTTCCATTTTTCCGCATGCTATTTCACTAGGTAATTTCTGATTTTGAATATGAGGTTTCATGCATTTGAATAGGTAAAAATGAAATGTTTTGAGTTTTCCCAATCGAATAACAAAAACTATCACGAATCACCCAGTATATTCTTTAGGAATTTGGTACACAAGTCCTCCTTCTTCTACCCCAGCGACTCACCTATCAGTCACGATGAAAATCCAGGTCCGGATTAACGAAAAATTATAATCTTCTGGGCCCGATAAAGAAAACCCAGTATTTTGAAATTTCCAAAATCCGATTCCATATTTGGAAAGTTCACAAAGAGATGAATCGAATTGTGTACTTTTCAATATCCCGCATGCTCTTTCACTAATTAATTTCTGATTCTGAAAACTCAAAACTTTTCATTTTACCTCGATTTCTACCTATCTAAATACATAAAACCTCGAATTCAAAATCAGAAATTCAGTAGTGAAATAGCATTCGTATGAAAATAGAAAGTAGACAATCCGATTCAGCTTCTTGTGCAATTTTCAAATATGTAAGCATATTATGGAAATTCGAAAATACTGGGTGTTCTTTTTGGGGCCCAGAAATATAATCAATTTTCGTTAATTCGGACCTGGATTTTTCTCTTGAATGATAGGTGAGGGGTTTGAGTAGATCAAGGAGAACTCGTGTACCAAATTCCAAAAAAATATACTGGGTGGTTCGTGATAATATTATTCGATTGGGGAAACTCAAAACACATTATTTTCACCTATCCAAATGCACAAAACCTCGAATTCAAAATCAGAAATTCCTTTGTGAAATTGCATGTGGGAAAATGAAAAGTACACCATTTGGTTCAGCTTTTTGTGCACTTTCCAAATATGTAAGCGGATTTTGAGATTTCGAATATACATGGTGTTCTTGTTAGGGTCCAGAAATATGATCAATTTTCGTTAATCCGGACCTGGATTTTTCTCGTGGATGATAGGTGAGGCGCTTGGGTAGAATAAGGAGAACTCGTGTACCAAAGTCCAAAAGAATATACTGGGTGGTTCGTGATAATTGTTGTTATTCGATTGGGAAAACTCGAAACATATTATTTTTACCTATCCAAATGCATAAACCCTTGAAATCAAAATCTGAAATTTCTTAGTGAAATGGCTTGCGGGAAAATGGCAAGTATACCATTCGGTTCAGCTTTTTGTGCACTTTCCAAATATGTAAGCGGATTTTGAGAATTCGAAAATACAGGGTGTTCTTTTTGGTGTCCAGAAATATTATCAACTTTTGTTAATCCGGACCTAGATTTTTTTCGTGACTGATAGGTGAGTCGCTTTGGTAGAAAAAGAAGGAATTGTGTATCAAATTGCAAAAGAATATACTAAGTGGTTTGTGAGTTATGTCCTCACAAAGAATTGTGCAAAATTGATAAAACACACTATATCTCGGATATAAAACTTGTGAGACCCTACAAATATGGTATATTCAGAACCACCTTGATGAGCTCTACCCACCGTTGAAGTTTTTCCGTTTCCCAATGGGACACCCTGTATAAAAATATATGTTTTGCATTTCACTCTCAATACATCGAAATAAACTGATCGAAAAAAGTTATGGATATTGTCTTTTTGCTATAAAGATATTTTTCTAGAAAAAATGTGTTATAGCTAGTAATATCTATGAAGTTTGGGTAAGTTAAGGATACATATTGTCTTCCTGCTACGAAGACATTTTTGTAGAAAAAATGTGGTATAGCTATTAATATCTATGTCGTTTGAGTTCAAAAATAACCTTAATTTTTTTTTCAAAGTTTACTTCATCAGTAAGGTAGAAAATGATATATTTTTTTTATTTTTATACAGGTATTGGAGCAGCTATTCAAATGCCACAATGTGAAATACTCCTCGGTCAGTACTTTCGAATCAAACACAATATTTTGGTCTATATATCCTATGGGGTGATGGCACTAGGTTTTATTATAGTCCCCATCGTTATTGGACACCACATACTCAGTACGAATTTGCACAATGTATTGTTATGGTATCAAGCCATTATCCTTCAAGGTTTGATCTGCAATTTGACTTTCCGGAAACCAACCTATTTGAAGTCCAAACAAACTGATCAGTACAAGTACATAACGGTATGTAAACAGCATTGATATTATTCAACGAAACTTAATCCAAGGAATATATAACACAGTTTTTCTTTACAAGTGACACTTTCAAATGTAACCAATCTTTGGAACGTCTCACTATCAATAACTACACCTTTTCTAGTTGTATTTCAGAAAGCTCCAATTATATTAAAGATATATTATTTTATTTCAGTCAAACCCAGACGATGAAGAAGATATTTTATTCAAGAGTTCAAGAGAATTACAGATCACACGGCAAAACAGCACAGGAACCAATATAACAATAGAGAAGCACCAGTTGCCTTCAATCACAGAACCTTCTACCTCAGACCCTAGTAGCAGTGGTACGAAGCAAAATAAACCAAAAGACTGGGAAACCTTTGACGAAGATGCCAATGAAGAAAACGAACAAAACAGATACGAAGTTTTGAAGAACGAATGGGAGACATTCGAAGATGACGATGTTCCAGAAGAACTTAAACCTAGAGAAGATGGAAGCAAAACACGTGAACCTAAAAATCTCAAACTCGAATTATCGTTGGCCGATGAAAATGAACCCAAACCTAGAAATAACTTTAATAACCTTCCAATACCACTTTTCACAGATTCACCTGTGAATAACAACAATACATACTCGTATGATATTGTCGAGCAAGATTTGAATTTACCAAGGCCAGCTGTTTTTATGCCTACCACTATCAACAGACCGAATATCTCATCAAGTCTTGAGCTTCTTCAACGACCCACCTTCTACAAATCACTCCTGTCAGTGATGACAACGAAGTTTTCAATCTTTATGTACTATACACTACTTCCCACCTTCATGTATCAAGAAATCAAAAAAATTGGACTCAAAGAAGTGGCATCGTTGATGGGATTAATGTCAATCACCACTCTACTCTTTTCTGGAGTTGCTTATTGGATAAATATTGACAAGAAAAAGAGGGCGATTTGCTTATGGTGCCTATGCTGGGTGGGAGCATTTGGATACTTTAGTATGTATTTTATTATTTATTTATTTATTGAACAAATAACTTCCAGGCAGAATAGGCTCTGGTATAAGGAAGATACAGTCTGTCCAAGATAAGGTTGAACAGCATGGGGGGATCTCGGAAACAGTAGGAGATACGAAGTCGCTTAAATGGGGAAAAAGTTGCGCATTCGGAGGCTCATATCAAGAGCCTTCGAAAATTTTGAAAATTATTTTTAGTTTTTGAGTTATATCGAAAAAAGTGAATTTTTGGAATTTCTATTTTATTTTTTTTCTCCGTTATTATCAGAGATACAGAAAAACTGAAAATACTTTTTCATTGCAACTATTGATGAGGTTCAACGTGGTGATAACGATTTTTTTATGCGACGTTTCGTATTCGTGGAACCATCATCAACTTTTGTTTTTTAAATACGGTCCTGATAATTTTTTCACAGATTCTGAAAGGTTTTTTTATTCTGAATTCAACAATGTACTATACAAGGTGATTCGAATGTGTTTCGACCTATTTCTATCCATCATCAATGTTTTTTCGAACTTCCAAAAGAAAAAAAGCCATCAGTTCCACTTATTTCTTATCATTTAGTGTCAAACTTGATGGATTAGTTATTCAATACTGAAAAGTGAATAAAAAATATTTCACTACATCATTCGATGAATAATGCAGCGTTTAAAATTGTTGATGAATTCTTACACGAATTACTTTAACAACTTAACTTTGACAATACCTACAGAGACATTAATAACACATGTTCAAAATGATAACCATTATTTTCTGAACAAAGATATCCTCTTCTCACAGTTGTTTCTAAGACATTGCTAAGCATTTCTGGGGGTTATTCTATTGAATGCTTCGAAGACACTGTCCCTTAGTTCTTCTTCATCCTCAAAGTTATTTACGTGTACAAAGTTCGATATATTCCCTAAGAAAAAATCCAGCTGTGTTAAATCAGGCGACCGCGCCAACCAAGGGATAAAAACGCACGGACTTCTCTGGAATTATGTACCGGAGCGCCATCTTGTTGAAACCAACAGAGTTCTGAACTTCCGCAATCGGTAAATCATCCAGAACTTCCTCAAGATGATTCTCAAGCGAATTTCTATAACGTTCGGAAGTCTGTGTTTCATGGTAAATAGAAGGAACAATAATTCGTGTACCAAATATTGCAACCCACATATTAAAGCCGAAACTGTGTTGGTGTCTCGCTGTAATGTATAAATGTTCATTTTCTCGTGAACAATAATGTGTATTTTTTCTATCGAAGCTACCATGATTAGTGACCATGCTTTCATCAGTCCAGATGATTGTTCGAAAGAAATCTGCAAAATTTTAACATTTCCTGGTATACCACTCACAGGATGTCTTGCGCCTTTCGTCATCTCCTGGTTTTAGCGCTTGACATATTCTGAATTTGTATGTATGGAATTTTTGTTTCCGCAAAATGAAATGGGTTGTTGATTGAAACCAGTTGATGAGGTATTAGTGAGTTGACTAATTTTCCTTCAAGATAAGTGGAACTGATGGCATTTTTCCTTTGGAGTTTCGGAAAAACATTGATGATGTATGGAAATAGGTCGAAATACAAATGAACCACCTTGTATAATACATGGTTGAATTCAGAATAAAAAAACCTTTTAGAATCTGTGAAAAAATTATCAGGACCGTATTTAAAAAACAAAAGTTGATGATGGTTCCACGAATACGAAACGTCGCATGAAAAAATCGGTATCACCACGTTGACCGTCATCAAAAGTTGCTATGAAAAAGTATTCTCAGTTTTGCTGTATCTCTAATAATAACGGAGAAAAAAAAATAAAATAGAAATTCCAAAAATTCACTTTTTTCGATATAACTCAAAAACTAAAAATAATTTTCAAAATTTTCGAAGGCTCTTGATATGAGCCTCCGAATGCGCAACTATTTTTCCATTTAACCGATTTCGTATCTCTTACCGTTTTCGAGATCCCCATGCTGTTCAACCTTATCTTGGACAGACTGTATACCTATAGGTATACATTTCATCATTATAAATATATCAACAACTATAAATTGGCAAACGAAGAATAATATTTGTAGAAAAACAGGAAAATAACATGATTAATTTTATCCAGTTGGCTCAGAAATAATCAGTTTTCACTTTATTTTTTAATGTACCTATATTTCTGCAGTTTTTAATATTGCCAGGCAGTTTATTGAATTCAGTTAAGGCTGAATGAGTGAATCTTTTTTGTCCGAGTATGGAGCTAGCCGCGGCAAGATGAAACAAGTTATATTGTCTAGTTTCATGATTATGAAATCCAGAAATCCGTATCAAAATAATATTTGATTCCAATTATTCATTCATGATATTATATGAAATTTTAAGAAATTCAATTCTATATATTTCATCTGAAGAATACGTATTTGTTATTTCATACAATTGATTGGTTCGTGTATCAAATGGGAGACGATACAGTACTTTCAACGATCTATATAATATTGATATTTTATAGAAATTGTTTTTTGAACAAGATCCCCAAACATGTATTAAATAGTTGATACGACTCAGTATATGCGAGTAGAGAATCATGTTCGCAATTTTAATATCAAGTTTGGGACATCTTCTCAATGCACCAATAATTGGTGATATTTTCTTTGTCAAAACATGAATATGTTTGTCCCACTTCAACCTGTCATCAAACCAAATACTATAAAATATTTTATCTGGTCAGTTTGTTTCAAGAGTTCATATTTTATTTTAAGGTTGAGGTAAATTTTTTGTTTATTTTTTTGGTGAAAAATCATATATTCTGTTTTATTAGTATTTATCGATAAAATGTTAGAGTGGAGCCATTTTTCAAATATTTTCAAGTCTTCATTCATCATATTTTCTAAATTTGAAGGATTCTTGCTTTCATATGAAAGTACTGTATCATCTGCATACATACAGGGCTTTTCACGATGAGCGTTAATTAGACGTTTCTGGCAAACCAAATAACGGATCATTTTGAAAATTCAATAGAGGGCATATTCGGACATTCTCTAGCCAACTAAAATATTTTCGACAATGTGGTGTTGCCGCTTCTATTAGAAAGCAGTAGCAACTTTGATTTTTCAAATAGAACACTCTGTATTTTATTGCATTTTTAGATCCTCCCTGAAGAGCTGATTTCATCGATGTATCACACTTGGGGTCTAGCGGAAATGATTACAGAGATATGGGGTGTGAAAAATCGACATTTTTCAACTTTAGGATTTTTTGTGTCGAAACTATTCATTATTGGTCAAAACGGCTCACATGTCCCTATCTCAACTTTTGATCAACTATCTACTAACATTTAATTGAAACAAATACAGGGTGGTGCAGAATTCAGAATCTTGATCACCCGGTATATGTCCCAATTAAATATCAGTAGATAGTTAATCAAAAGTTGAGATAGGGACATGTGAGCCGTTTTGACCAATGATGAATAGTTTCGACACAAAAAAATCCAAAAGTTGAAAAATGTCGATTTTTCACACCCCATATCTCTGTAATCATTTCTGCTAGACCCCAAGTGTGATACATCGATGGAATCAGCTCTTCAGGGAAGATCTAAAAATGCAATAAAATACAGAGTGTTCTATTTGAAAAATCAAAGTTGCTACTGCTTTCTAATAGAAGCGGCAACACCACATTGTCGGAAATATTTTAGTTGGCTAGAGAATGTCCGAATATGCCCTCTATTGAATTTTCAAAATGATCCGTTGTCTGGTTTGCCAGAAACGTCTAATTAACGCTCATCGTGAAAAGCCCTGTATACATATTTACTCGCTAGACCGATTTCACTGATATTTTGAACATAAAGTAAATATAGTATAGATCCTAAAACTGAGCCTTGTGGAACACATATATTAATTGATAGTTTATTTGACACAGAGTTGGTGGATATGAATTCAAAACATTTCTCACAGTGCCTCTGAGTCCCATTGTTTCCCACTGTGTCAAAAGCCTTTTTGATATTAATGAAAACAGCTACCACATAATTTCCTGAATCAAGTCCATTCTGGATTGATTCTATCACTTGTAATACTGCTGCTTGTTTTGTATTGTATGTACCTACCTATATTCGATTTCATGAGGTGATCCCCGTTTCACGAAAAACTTTCGTAAATCACTTATATTTTTTCGTCCAGATATACCACTCTTCTGATCTTTTCTGACATATCTGCTGATAGTGAGAAATCATATTTTTTCTTACAACAGTCAAAAAAACTGTACTTTTTGTGTGCCTACAGTGTACAAATTTTCAATATCAAAATTCTGTTTCATTATTTTACGAAAAAGTGTGGAAAAAAGTATACTTTTTTCACGGTTGTTGCTAGGCGACGGAATGAATGCTTGCGTAAAAGGGGCCCATACACTGCAATGCTGGTGAGCTGTTTTCTCAGACGAACAAGTCTGTTCGAACAAAAATGATGCAAAACCGAAGTGTGTGGCTGCAAAATGGTCGTTTTCGCTAGCTACACACCACACACTTCGGTTTTGCGTCATTTTTGTTCGAACATACTTGTTCGACGAACAAAACAACCCACCAACAACACAGTCTATGGGCTCCTTTACGAGGTTCAGCAAGGCAGTAAGCGAACAAATCCAGGAGACTGGCCAGTGAAATAGAGATGGGAGCGGGAAGAAGTCGCCACAATATCCTCGCGAATTAGATAATAATATGCTCGCATTTCATGTATGATTTGCTTAGCTGAAGGTGGCTCTGAAGGTGTTATCAATAAAGTGACATGAAATGAATAAATGTACTTGAAAATATTTGCAAAATATCATTTAATCATTCACATCAGAAGCTGAATGAGGTTGTCCTCTTTTTTGACAATTTTATTGTAGGAAAAATATTGTATGTAACACGTGCGTAAAGTGTTTTTTTACTCATAGGTATTGCCGCACACCGCCTTCGTTGTCGTGCGTCAACATTTCCTACTCGTAAAGAAAATTACCACTTTACGCATTTGTTACATATAACTATTTTCTAATGAATGAAATATTAATAGTGTAAGATCGGTACCATCTTAGACAGAACATTTCTGAGACTACAAATTTTACTATTGACCATAATTCAAGAAACGATGTCGTTTTGTTGTCCTATTTTTCTTCATGATTTTTATTAATTTTTAGTGATATCAGATTCCAATAATACAAAGCAAGTTTTCATCTATGGAGCAGTCCAAGTTACACTAAGCATTGCTACTTTACAATTTGTTGGTATGCCTTTATTGGGACTCACTATGAGAGGAGAGAGCAATATGGAATTTTGTTTGATCAACATGATGACAGGCATTTCCTTTATATTCTTTTTAATTATAAGTGAGTATTTTATCAATTGATTTCAACATTCAATTTTGCTGATATTAACATAAAAAGTGTCACTTTCTTTAAACAGTTGCAATTGTTAAAGAATTGTTTCCCAACTGACAGTTCATTTCACCATCAGATGATCGATGATGCTGTCAGAATCGATATTTTACTTAACGGTAAACTTCTTACTGACAAGAGCTAAACTACAATTTCTTATTGAAACACGTTAGGAACTAACCAAAGTAACATTGTCAAAACTCATTGCAAACCAAATCAAAGAGCACAACCTGTACATTGAATATACAAATATTATCAGTAAAATTGTTTGCTAAGACTATACTTATGTTCAAATTCAGTGTTCATCGTTTCATTCAAATATGGAACCAGATTTCGAAAATTCCAAAAAACACTATAATGTTCTGAGAAAGACAGTTCGTTAACGCCTCAGTGGATCAGTCTCGAAAATAGTGTAAATGCTCTACCAGCTGCTTCTAGGGCCAAAATTTGAAAGGACACTTAGTCTATAAGGTGACTATACCCTCTTAAAAAACGCCTTTGAAGATAGTTTTTCCATTATTTCAAGACCGGTTTGAGATAAAATAATGAAATTGGTTATGCTTACTGAGTTTTTGTGCAAACCATTTCGGAAATGATGATGAATAAGGCACCTCTTCAGCAGCATGTAGCTCTTAGGGACAATCCAGCTGCCGACCTATGTTTATACCAAATTACACGATTTTCGGGATACCCTGCAAAATTTCTCAAAAAAATAGTTTGAATAATTGAACAAATTTGAGAAACGATTTTGAAACGCCTTATGTAGAATAGAGTATTTTTCTTTCTCATGCAATGAAACACCCTGTATAAAATCAATCTCGAGGCCCCATTTTCCCCAAACAATTCCTTCAAGAAATTATTTTTTCATTTCAGATTGTAGTATCAGGAACTGTTTTCGCCTGATGGGACTACTTCACTTCTTTACTGGAATGCTTTGGTTTGTTAATTACATTTATAAAAAAATAACTAAATAGTTTCTGTGGTATTTGTATTTATAAAAATTTTATAAAATTTGTTTTAAAACATCGTTTCATTCAACCCCATAGTCCCCCCAAATTCAACCCTGGCTTCTTGTTTGTTTGTTGTTTATTTCTGCCTGCAGATCCAAAAATATTATTTACTCCTCCCAATTGATCCAGAATATTTGCTGGAGGTGCTGGTTTATTGAAAACTTTACTAATGGAATCGTCAATGCTATTAATTTTACTTGAAGGAGCCTTTGGAACATTCGTTACTGCTTTATTCTGTTTGTTACTTGCCAATAAACTCAAACCACTGGTTTGTGGTAAAATCTCATTACCACCACCAAGGATGGCATGTCCAGCATCCGAAATATTTTTTATGGAAAGATTTCCTGGTTGTTTATTATGATCTTCGTCAATGTAGTTTTCATTATTATTGATTTTATTCCCACTTCCTATGGAATGATTAATATGGCTTGTGTTACTGCTGGATACAATTCCAGTCGTATTTCCACTACCATAGGTTGGTAATGCAATTTTATTACCTCCACCAAAGATATTGGAAAAATGATGAGCTGAACTTTTGTTAACCATCCCACTCCATATCTTATTACCATTGAACACTGTATTGTTCAAAAAGCCACCAGCAAGATTTTCAATATTTTTTAAAGAAGTATTCAGCGCATCTAAGAACTGACAAGAAGTGCTTTTCAATCTCTCGGCTATATTGCACCAAAGTGCCATTTCGCAAAATTTGAAATTGTTCGTTATTTCTGGCTTGGGTTTTATCTGAATGAAGTTGTTCGTCTTACCAGAAAACGGTAAGATATTTTTATTATTCATCCTAGGAGCTCCGTGACGGGCAAAATCCGATATCATCTGCGTGAAAAAATCGCGGACTTTTCTGTCATCTTCGTTTAGAATAACATCTGAGTTGAGTGATTTTCCTTCCACATCGTTTGCGTCGAACAAATATGCAAGATCATCCCCGTGACCTACTGTACCATTGTCATCTGGAATTCAACAAAAAAAAAAGATATTGTACGAAATACTGTGTGTGGAAATAATGGAAATATGAGCCAAATTCGCAAAAACTGTAGATTCCGATGATATTTATTTCTTATTAACTTTCAACTAATTTTGTCCAAAAATCAACTTGTCATAATTCATTATATTCAGAAAAATCCTGGAACAGGAAAAAATAAAAAACATACGGTGCCATTTAAAAAATGAGTTAACAGTCTTTGCAGTTTCCGTTCGGAGCATACTTATAGTATTTGATAAATAATTCCATTTGCTGTTTTGTTCTTCAAATCGGATAGTTGATAGCGGTACATTGCCTTGGGGCGTTTTTTGTCAGTCAGCCTGTATATCATCTCGATATTTGCTAGAAAATATTAGCAAGTATTTTCTACAAAGGTAAAGTTTTCGATTGTCGACCGGCTTGACCGAATGGTGTCACGTGACTAATCACAATGACAAATACGAATGGTTTCGACCATTCCCTTACATACAAAAACCTTTTAAACCGTAAACTTCACTGATCAATTAATAATATACCGGAAATGACACATAATCTGGCATCTTGAAATCCTGATATATTAGGAATCATCTATATGAATCATTGAATTCCTCGAGACAGTTTTTGTTGAATGAAATAATAATTCGAAATGTATATATCAGTTATAATACACTCAAGTGAATCATCCAGTGATGTAACGCTATTTCTGTTGAAATATAAGTAGTTTGAGTTATTATTTTGAAGACTGTAGATTCCCTCTTCCATTTTTTGTGTCATTTGATTGTTTTGAGGTTATATACTTTATATCCTTGAACCGCATCGACCAGCAAAAAGCCGGGGCGAACCGGTCTTGGATTGATCGGCCTTGGTCTTCAATATTCTTTCGTCTCTCGCTGCATTTTTTGTGTATTGTAAAACAGCACAATGTGATTGCATGCTTGAATTAATGAATAGCCCAAAAACACGATTTATATTCCAAAATATTGTGAAAAACTATTTTAATCCTTTGATTCCTTGATAAACAAATAAGAAGAGTGAGGTTCTGTTTAAATGTTTTACCTCCAGGGTCGGTCATCGTTCATGCGACCTATTCCTATTACCCGTTTTCCCGTAGGAGTGAAGCATTTTCCCGTGGTAAAAAGTATCCTATGTGCATCAGGAATAATGTCGACTTCTAATCATAACAGAATTTTTCAAATCGGTCCAATAGTTTCAGAGCCTTTTCAATACTAACAAACAAACAATCAAATCTTTCCTCTTTATAATATTAGTGTAGACAATCATTTGTACTAGTTTTGAATTCTGATATATTAATTATTTCCGTATTCAAGTCGAGTTACAAACCCTAACCTCAAAATAATATTGAAAACAATAGCCAAGTTAGTAGCATTAGTCAACTTAAGGATACATATGCGATTACGTCAATAGATGAATAGTTATCGATAAAACATTTAGAACATTTATTTACGAGATTTATTATTTTATAGGGTATAAAATGGTATCTTCATAATAATAAAAGCAGAAATTTGAAGTGATTATTCAGAAAAGTAGCATCTTCTTATCAAAGGTACAATAACATCAAAGTTCACCAAGCCTTCCATCAAATGGACAATGATTTTGAAATGTGCAACTGACAGCGATGTCTTATCCATTGCATGTATGGCAATACAATTATTACTTTGCAGTGATTAATTTCTACTTACCATGTGTTTCAGTGTCGTTACCAACAAGTGGAGATCCCCTCAAAAACGTATTCCCTTTTTTAAGTTTTCCAAAGTGTTCAAAGCTATACAAAAATGTAGGCGCACCATTCCTTGACCATCTGTCAACTGTCAGGAAAGCAGGAACATTGAATAATACATCATCTGAAATACATTTTATTTTCAAAAATGTATATATTTTTATAAAACCAAACTTACTTGTTATATCTGATATTTTTTCTAGTGATTCGAATAAATTATCTTTATTGTGTTGCAGATAATTTTTGAAATTCAAAGGTATCAATCCTGTTATCAAATTTTCGGCATTTTGCTTCACCTCTTGCAGATGATTTTTGAGAGGAATAAATCCTTTCAAATTGTTTACCAACACATTTTCTATGTAATTGGGAACTGTCTTCAGCTTTTTGATGATATCTTCATTCATATATCCTTGAAAACAAAATATTATTTTTTCTACATACTTCAAAAAATAACAGAAGTTTTGCGCATTGATAATTTTTTTCGAAGTGACACTTTTTTTTTCGAAGCAGTGCGCATAGTATAACGATGCGAGAAGTACATACTTCGCGGATTGTATGTAAACTATATGAGACTTTTGTATTTAATCTTAATGGCCCTCAATCAAGCCAACATCCAAGAAATAATCTATTTCTAGATGTTTAACAATAATTAAGGCCTTCTAAGCAAGTTCAACACTATTTTTTTATATTAAGCTAAGCTTAGAACTATAATTTTAGAAAAAATGTTGATTGCATCTCGTACGCGAAATAATTTGGTCATCTTGAATATTAAAAAAAAACAAGTCTCGATCACCAAAGTAGCATTTCTCGCACTAGATACAAAAATAACTAATTTCTTCACCATGACACATACACAAAATGGATACTCACCTTTAACTGCTCTTTTAGTTTCATCCTTAACGATACCAGTTAACAAAGGTATTTTGGGGTTGTTCTCTTTCTCCAAATCATTGATTGGTTCATTTTCAACGAGGCCTGGCAGAGATCTGCCGTCATTGACCCCTTCAGTAACAGGAGAACCACCCAAGTTTCCAGACAGTCCAGACATGAAACCATTTGATTGAAGCCTGTGGAACTCGATATAAGAATCCCCCTAGAACAAACAATATTTTTCCACGTCTACCTTCAGAACACACCACCATTTTTAATCGTGTACATCAACCTCAGAAATGTATCTTCGCTACCTATCGGAAATAGTAATTATCAAGAGAGCAAAGTTATTCATTTTCTCATGGGTGAGAACTTTGATGCCAGACGTGTAGTGGAGGGCAGTAAAGACACAGTGTGAATTTCGTGCAAATCATATTATTGAAATAAATTATTGAAAATCAACTCAATTTCTTGTATTCCGGAAATTATCAACTTCTGGACTGAGGTAAATTGGGCTAGATCCGCATTACTTGCGCGAAATTTGGCACTGTGGTGTTTTTTAGAAAAATGAATCAAGATCTGAATAAATTGTGAAGAGAGTATCCACTAATTACACCTTATATTAGATATGCAGACGCCGTGCTGCCACTTGCCTAAAACGCAGTTGCTACGATATTTTCATACAGAACGACAGCTTGTACAGCTGATTGTATATTGTTTTTCCTAGGTGCGTGCGGAAAATTAACTTTTCTGCACGATTTTTCGTTTTGAAAGTTGTACTTTTTTGTACGATTTTGCTTATCTGCAAGATTTTTATTATTCCGTACGATTTTTACTTTTCCCCACGATGTTTCCTATTCCTCACGAAGTTTCCTTTTCCGCACGATGAATCGATAAAATCGTGCGGAAAATATACTTTACCGAACTAGTGCTGAAACGTTGCTTTTGGCACGAATACGAATATATTTTCTACACAAAAGTGTTCTAGAAATCTATTTTTCCACTATAAAACGTTATACAGGTACGCACAAAAAAGTGATGACTTCTCAAAAGACTCAAAGAACATGTAGGTGGCGCCACCCCCACGAGAGAGACAAACTAACATAACATTTGATATTGTCATTGAAAAATACTCCTAGATACCAAATTTCATTCCAATATCACGATTATTTCAAAATGTATTAACATAAAACAGAAATAAGAATTAAACTTTGATACTCTGTATCTCAGAAACGAATAACTTTCGGACATAAATTTATACGAACTTTTCTCCTTATTTTGACATCAGCAACATGCTCCTGAATTTTCTACACGTACTCAAGAAACACCCTGTATATATGAGGAATATTGATAAAAAGATTAAAGGGCTATCTGCTCCTCTCATATATAAACTAGTCATATTCACATACCTTTATTATAGATTCAGGGGGTAAAGTTTGCAAGCATTTCACCATTGTTACAATATCCCCAATTGGACACCCGTTTTGATCAGCAATGTCCTTGGCAGCAGTTTGAGGACTGTTATCGACAGCCCAACGCGATACTGCTGTACCAGACATCGCTATTACACCAGCAGATAAACCTGGAATAAAAGAAGAATTGAAGAAGTACATTCAAATAAACTACTCCAAGAAATTGAAGCGCCACCAAAAAACGATTCAGGTATATCACCCTTGTCGAAGATATTGGATGACACATGATCGTCATCTATCAATCTGAGTTCAGAAAAAGGTTCAATAGAATCACGCCATACAGAGTAGGATGCAGTCACCTATGGCTTACACGTGGAATCTCATACTAAATACCAAATAGATAGACTGAGCTTTTACTTTTTATCCAAAAGATAGACACTATGATTCATTCAAAAATCATTAATATGTAGGTATCTACGCCTACAATTCTAAACGCCAAACACGGATAAATAAATGAAATCTCGAAGGGTGGGGATCACTCTGCGGAATCGTTGCCAGAAAATTGATATTCTTCACATATTTTATATACCTAAATCGGGATTTCAATAAATATGCGTATTCGCAATTCTCACGTATTGTAACATAATAATACGCCATTTTGTAACGTCCAAGTGTTATTTGAGATATTCAATATTATAAACACGCTTTTCAAAAGCAAGTTCTCAAACAACACCGACACTGTACAAATTTTCTATGTACCTGAGAAATATCAGGTTTGGATATTTGTAACCAACTTTTCTTTACACATTTGATACTGCCAAATGATTCTATGAAACACAAAAAAAAATCACATTATAGCCGGGAAACCATTAATAACAACAAGAACTACAATTAAAATTTCCCAAAACGATTATTGTTCGTCTATTACAAAACTTTGTAGTGCCGCCACGTTCATTTTTGAATAATTCATATTCTTTTTTTTGTTACCTACCTTACAATATTTAATTAGTTTATAATTATTAGTAGTGAATTTCTGACAATCATGGTTGTTCGGGTGTGTTATTATGTAATAAAGGTTGTTCTATTTTTAGTAATAAGCTATTTAGCCGAGTTGAATGAGATGTTTCATCCGAAAAATTCTCTTGAATTATCGTTTTGACAGCAGTTGACAGATATTTAGGATGTGATGTCTTGTCTTTTCAACTAGTTACTCTGAGCGTAGGACCCCTACGCCAACATGCTACAGAGTAGTAGTACAGTTTCTCGGGTTAACAAAGACAACAACAATACCAATAAAAAAAGTTGAGACTCTAATGCAAATATTGATTTAAATCAGATGTATTTCATACCTTTCGCAACTTTAGACAAAGTTACGAGAAGGGCACTACTGGCTCCAGTGTCGTGACCCATAACGACAATTCGGTAAGGATTCCCTCCGAAGAAGCCAATGTAATTTCTGACCCATTGTACAGCGAGGACCATGTCCCACAAAGCTACATTCCCGGGAAGCTGTTTGCTACCATCACTGAGGAAGCCAAGAGACCCTAGTCGATATTGAATTGTAACGACTACCAGCTGTTTTCCTACTAAATGTCGAACCTAAAGGAAATACCGGGTGAAACAAGATCATGGTACACCAAACCATTTTGATGAATTCAATTTCGTGATGAATCAAGAAACTTTACATTATTCACAGGATTCAATTTTTTTTTATTTACACCTGTCGATATGAGTACATCAGACTTGATCATAATAGTCATGGCACACTAAGATGGAAAATCAAAAATGGAATTAAAATCAATATTGAAGTTTGAAATGTCACTTATATGGTATCATTGGGTTTAGAAAATGGTGCAGAATTCGAAAATGCAATGATATACAGGGTGTTCCATTTGAAAATCGAAAGTTATTACCACTTCCTGTGAAACCAGAAGGGTGTAACAGGATCATGGTACATCAAACCATTTTGATGAATTTAATTTCGTGATGAATCAAGAAACTTTACATTATTGACAGGAAACTCTGTAAGAAGAAACAACCATTATTGGTGGAAAAAGATAACTCATTTAAAAAAAACATGAAAAAACTAATTTTGTTTTTAACCGCGCATAGTGCGGGTGAGTAACTGTTAGGGAACCATTATTACAGCTCTATAAGAGCTTACATGGTGTTCCATTTGAAAATCGAAAGTTATTACCACTTCCTGTGAAACCAGAAGTGGAAAACGAAACATGTTTTTGTCAAAACATGACGTTTATCAAGTTGATGAGTCATTTCAAATTTCAATCATTTATCTCTAAAACTAAAGGAGAAAAAGGGGATGTACCATCATCCTGTTACACCCGGTATAGTTTGGCGCAAAACTACATCTCAAATAACAATTCTATGATTAACTTTAGTAGTATCTATTACCTACTATTCCATTGCCAATAGCTCATTGTCTTCAAAATACAGAATAATATAATATACCATTGTCAATGCTGTCCTCATATTCGACTGGTAAAAAAATGGGCTATTTTTGTGGTACTCATTTTAATTGCATTGAATACCTAGTTAATATTCTAGACACTCAATTGTGTATTTACAGATCCGTTCTTCACTATATTTTTAATTTTCCAATGCACCATATAGACTTTGACAGTTTGTCATATACAGTGTGTCTCACTTTGAACGGACCCCCCTCTATATCATTTTTCCAGAGACGAACATTATTTTGGACAATGTCGTGCATTTTTATGGAAATAATAAGTAGTCGTCTTTCTATATCATATTAGGAACTTTCTTGCTGGAAAACTAACGTCCATGGTGGAAATATGCTAACGTCATAGTATTGTATCTCCCTTTGAATCTCCAAATGCAAAATTTCATTCCGAATTACCAGTATCGGATTATTTTCTCTTTTTGCCTCGAAAAAAAAATCTAATTAATTGTAAATTTTGAACCTCTAATAGAGAGACAGAGACAGTAGAAAATTATGATTTGAAAGAAAAAACTATATATGTGAATAATTATTTACGTTCGCAAAAATGTACACAGTAAGCGAAATGCAACTTCGCAGCCGTTACCCACAGCAACGACAACGAGATTCCAGTGTCAGATCATGTCAAGATCATATATTCGTTTTGTCAAGAACTGTCAAAATATTCGGTATTCATTCAAAATGTCATTTCAGTTATTGACGATTGCACGAAAAATAGTGCGTATATCATGGCCATGAAATTTTTTGGTGATCTCAAGATCATCTTGCCTCGGCCGTAAACGGCCTCAGCATTAACTTTTCATTAGGCACGCCAAAAAGTTACTTCGCGGCCTAGGCATACAAATAACTCAGATGTGCCCGTTTTTTTTTAACCATATATAGAAATTATCTGTGCTGGTGGTCAGCATAGCCTCATGGTTGAATCGTCAGAATTCTATCAACGTTGGATTGCCGGTAGGTGGGTTCGATTACCATGGCCTAAAAGTGTTTGGGATCATACGTCGAAAGGTAAGACCTCCGTCATTCCGTGCTCGCACAAGTCTCTTGAAGACTTTTGATGGTTGCTCGTAAGGGGGCAACTGAATGATGAATAAAAATAATTTTTAAAACAGCAATATGCAAATGTACCCATGAAGAACAATAGTTTGAAGTTATGTTTTTTTGTGAACAAATTGATTTTCATAAAAAATCGACCCTTCTTATTTCACTGTACATAATGATGGTCGTCTCTGTAAAACTTATCATATTGATAAGTATTCATACCACAAAAATTTAGTAAGAATCGCAAAACTAATAGCTGAGATACAGAAGGGGTTTGGTAAAAGAGAGACATGCATCTATATTGAAATATAAGATGAGTAAGAGAAAACTTCAGGAAAAAAAGCAATTCACAGCTAGATTAATGACCAAATTCTTACACCATACTGAGATGCTGATCCATATCTGAAACCTCCTCCATGTATCCAAACTACAACTGGTAAACCTGCAATATTTTATTGAGATGAAAATGAGTCCATTAGTTCATTCACATAGGAAATAGAATAAATAACGGAAAATGCTTCCTAGTTCCTATGCAAAAATATGGGTAATGTAACTGATTATTATTATAGATTACCTACAGCTTACATGAAATTTATAAGTGTGAATTTCATGTTGACTGATTTTTTTACATTATTCACTTTGTACTCATTTTATTTATTTATTCATTATTTATTAATCTTTACCCAGAGTGTATTCGGAAGTAATTCAATAAATGAAGTGAGTATTAAAAAACCATAAAACAAATTGAAATAAAATAATATGTTTTAGATTAGAAAACAAATTTTGGATGATAAGTATTAAAGTTTGCCTGGGCCTGGAATGTATTGAATAAGTATTGATAAGATAGTTCAAGTTCAAACATTTCGAAATTTGTCGTAAAAAAAATATTTTCTTTGGAATCAATTAAGTCCTTATCCTTATGCTTCGCCCTATTTTGTTAATCTGTTTCAGTTTGAGAAAAATCCTGTATTCACATTTTTGGTACATACTATTTCAAGAATGAATATCCTATAAGTACTGTGAGGATGATTATTCGTCTTTGTAATAATTCCTTACAATGATGTTGGTATAACATAAATATCGAATTTATTCCACACTTCATCACCATTCTGCATAAATTTAAAAGATGTCATGAATTTTTAATGAGATGAAAAAGTGTGAATTCTGTATTTTTGGCATGCTTCATTTGTAATACTTCGATGCAGTTATGCAAAATGGAACCAAGGGACAAGTGAGTTTCAAGATATTGACCTCTAAAGGTAATAAATCATTATTAAATCAGTGATATTTTGCCTTGCCACTTTCTTATTTTATCACATGTGAAAAAACACATGAAATTCAAAGAAAAAAAATCTCAGTTTCAATTTCCTCAAACAACAATATTAAAAAAAAATGCGTTGGTTCCTTTCTGCATTTGGAATTGTCGAGAGATTTTGATAAAAAAGGGTATTAGGATCCAGGTATACCGATAAATTATCAAACGGAGATATACAAAAAAGAACCATTTCACGTGAACCATCTCATGTGGTTCTTTTTTTCATAACGAATGAATTAATGCCCATGATTTCAGATGGTTCTTTTATCGAAAATAAATGCCAATATGTTTGAAATTAACTTGGTTATTTTTTGCTGAAATAAAAAATGGATATTTAGTCATTGATTTATGCATAGTACTCAGTTTCGACGATCATGTCGGTTGGTTCCTTATTGCATAACTACGTCCACTTATTCTAGAAATTGGAATATTTATCTGTCCTACTGTTCTATTGCCAAATGATACATTTTCCTTTAAGACTTTGTATGTTTCATACCTTCTAGTCCTGTAGGAAGTTCAGGTGTGAAAACATTCACAGCCAAACAATCTTCACTGCCTATAATCATATTGGTGCCAGGGCGTGGTTGTATACAGGGTGGAGCATATCTAGTGGCATCCACATGTCCTTCCAAAAACTTCTGCTTAGGCCGCTGAAATAATGTATAACCAATTTTCCTGTTCAACATTAATACTAATATTGCTCACCAAGAATCGATTTTTTCCGATCGGAGGAAGAGCATATTTGATTCCCCTGAAGACATAATGAGGAAATTCTCTTACACCCTGTACTCGGGCTGCTTTACCTGCAAAATTTGTGTAAACTGTTGGGTCATCTTCTGGAGGAGGATCTGCTGGATTGCCCCCTACAATTCTTTTGACCCTATCTCCTCTCTCATCCATAAAAATTGGGGAAATAAAACATAATATCAAAATAGTCACAGGGTATGCCATGCCTAGAATTATAATTTCCACCATGAAAACAATTCACATACCATCTTATATTTTGAAATAATATACCAACCCGTTTTATATGATTACTATTGTTAAACTGACAAAAAATATGATAAAATTGTGAACAGGAAGAATGGAATTCAGGTTTTTATCTCTCATTGCCCACACATTGATGAAGGTTGGTTCAGGAGATAAAAAATTTGCAGACTAAGAAGTTATTCAATTATAATTTTTAAAATGACTAATTATTTCACACATACCTAATAGAAGATACGATAATTGAACTAATAAAGAATAATAATTTTCGGTTGATTTTTCTTACAGTATCACGATCAGACAGAGTTTTTCAGTGTTAAAGTATCATTTTCATATGTTTCTAATACATCAGCTAAATGATCATTATCTCTTGGTTTCTTAAATACTTTTTTGCGGTTCCCAGCCTTTTTCCTTTTAGGTGCCACAGGTTTTTTGGGGCCATGATCCTGCATCGAACGAATCCCTAAAATAAAAATGGTTGCAATATGGAGACTTTCAGTTCACATTTTGAATGTAAATATAATTTTCATAAGTAACATCACGATGTTTCTATCGCTTATATTATATTGTATCTTTCTTTTATTCGATTCAGACCAGGGAAGAGTCCCTCTCATCCTGATATCTTTTTTTTTTTTTAAGTAAGTAAGTTTATTCAATTAGATTTTAACAATAATTTTTGATGAGAGAAGCCACCTAAGCTAAGCTTGTATTGTGGGCCATTCTCTCATCATACATTTTTATGTTAAATTACTAACAAACAAAAAAAGAAATATCTACTAGCAGATTAAAATGAATTATAATCAATCATTTCTATAAGTGTTATAAGGAAAGGAAGAAACGAAAAGAGAATATCACTGGTAATTGCAAAATATTATAAGAATAATTTATAATTATTCGAGAACTGATTTCAGGATATCCTTATAATACATTTGAACGAAGATTTTGGCTTGCTTTTGGAATTTATTTTTATTTTGTATATTTCTAATATCAGAGGGTAATAGATTGAAAAGTTTGGGACCATAATAGGTTACAAATTTTTGTGTGATTGTGGTTTTAAACATGGGAATTGGAATTTCTTGCCTTGCTGTCCTTCGAGTATGATGATAATGTAATGTTGGAGAGAATATAGAGTTTTTTCTCCAGATGAGGCATTGGTAGCAATACAGCTGCTTCAGATTTATTATTCCTATTTCATTATAAAGTTGCTCAGTTCCAAATCTTCTGTTTTCATTAAACAGTATTTTTAGTAGAGGATTCTGTGTAACTTCTGAGCAGTGAAGGGAAGTGCGAAAAGTTCCACACCAAACAATAATGCAATAGCGAATAATGGACTCAGCCAAGGCATCGTACACCATTATTTTAATTTTTTCATTCAGAATATTTTTCAACTGGTAAAATTTGTGAGTCAATTTACGTAGTCTCGTTGTAGTATGATTTATGTTTTCATTCCAACGAATATGTTGGTCAATTATTACTCCCAAGTACTTTATATTATCAATTTTTTTTATCATAGAACATGCGCAGTCGAAGTCATTTGTACAGCCGGATCCATGGAGTCGAATATTTTCATTTAAGGGTTGATCTCTTATTGTGGGTGAAAAAGTAATAAATTTCGTTTTTTCATTATTCAAGCTAAGCATACTTTCACTAAGCCAGCTGTATATTTTTTTGAGTCCTTGTTCCGCTTTTTTATATGTTTCTTCCCAATTATCCCCTATGAATACAATAGCGGTATCATCAGCATAAGAGATGAGTTTTCCTTTTATATTTTTCAAGTTATAAAGGCTGTTGATATAAAGTAAGAAGAAAACTGGTCCCAATACTGTCCCCTGTGGCACGCCCATGGATACCGGTAAAGGATTACTTAAAGTATTATTAATTTTTGTGATTTATTTGCGGTCTGTTAAATAATTCCTAATTAAATCTAGAGGAAGACCTCTTATGCCAGAGCTTTCCAGTCTCTGAAACAGAATGTTATGATTTACCGTATCGAATGCTTTGGTAAAGTCCAGAAATACGGTCATACATTTTTGTTTATTATCAAAGCAATTCAGGAGTGTTTTAGTTAACTCAAAGACTGCTTTTTCTGTTGAACAGTTCTCTCTGAATCCAAATTGTGAGACTGATAGAATATCATTCTTTTCACAATAATTCATGATTCTACCATGAAACAAAAAAAAACGAAATGAAACCGGTATTGGAGTTTGATGCGAACAGCCTTTCTGCCCCAAATTTCTGTCGCTTTATCGTTCACGAAATTGTGTTGCCGACGGTTGCTGTACGGCAACACAATTGAGTTAACAATGAAATATAGAATTATGAGGAGATATTCAGAACAAAATGGTATTTTGCTGGATTATTTGACGGTCACGATTCTGACAAGTAGAAAATTATTTTATGCCAAACTGGCAGACATTGCTTCGCTATCCATGGTTACATCGTTGAAAACATCAACGCTGATAGACCAATCAGAATTGAAATACAGCTTGTGATTGTCAGATTATGCTATGAGTGAAATAATCATATAAATAACATTGTCAATCTGGAAAACAGGTACAGGGTAGGGTCTCCATAAATGATAGTAGCATCGTAGTGACCGATGGAATAATTTATTGATTTGCCGCTTTCCACTTATAGGGATCGAACTGTAACACATTCGGTCGCTTCAAACCACTAAAAAACATAAGCAGAGAGCAGCACTATTTCAACGGCCACTATGATGATACGATCATTTATAGAAACCCTGTACTTATTTCGTTTAAAATGTAGAGGTAGATTACGATTTCCAATTCTATTTGAATAACAGTAATAATATTTTCATATCTTACTTAAATTTTAAGAACATAATAATTTAAGAGTCAAGTAGATCAAGGACACAGATTGTGGCGATATTTGGAAACGAAAAAAAAGATAATTTACTTTTTCAAAGACGAAGCCATTCATGCTCGTTTAGTTATAGTTGATCAATATAATTGAAAAATTTGGAGCTATCGGACTATCATAATTCATTTATTTTACATTTGGTATTTGATCACTTCCAAGAGGAAGTCTGTAATCTGTTATTATTAGTTTGGATTGCCCGATATATCTGTTGATTTTAATATTCATATACTCCAATATATGTGATATAACGTAAGAAAAATTGATATTCATCATACAGGAGTAGGAAGAAATTCTAAATTGTGTAAATCATGAAGAATGGCTGAAAGAATAACTGGACTTCAGGTTACTGAGGAGGGTTTGAAATCCGAAATGAGTTCATTGGAATAAAGTCATATAACCTGTTTGTGAGAGATATAATTCCCATATCACTGATAGGAATGATTTTTAATTGAAGTTTCAAGCTCATCGAGATCCGAGTTTATACAAGTATACTTCTCCTATACATTTCAATTTTCATTTCAATACTGAACATATTGGTAAGTTATATTTTTATATCATAATACATTATATTATTGTCGTCGTGAGACTGACGAAGGAGTACTCTGAGCAGCACCTTCCGGTGTGAAACCTTTCAGGTTATTTAACACCCGAGACCCTCTCCTGGGGAAGGAGGTTGCAGCAGGCGACTTCGTTGGCATATCCATGCCGAGTTTCAATGCAAAAACAACTAAATTATGAAAACTCCACGCTTGAAGGATAATTTAATTTCTTGATTTCTGCCACTGTCAACTGACAGGAAAATCTCATCCCTAATAACTACTGTGTGTTCATAGCAGAGGCGTCACTCTGCGACACTTCCCCCTTTTTTCTCAAAAAAAAAAAAAAAAAAAAAAAAAAAAAAAAAAAAAAAAAAAATACATCACAAGAACAAATATCAAACTGGCAGTCCTCTTCTACGACTTCTTGTCACTGGACCTTCATAATCAGATGAATCATCATTGTTTGGTACATTTTCCTCAGGACACATTTCTTCTATAGGATGATGGATCGATTGCTGAGCAGAACCAACATACGGTCGAAGATCGTTGATATGAACTTTAACAGTGTATCCGTCTCTTCGTATACTATAAGTATCATTTCCAAGTCTCGAAACGATAGTATGAGGTCCAGTCCAAGTCTTCCCTAGAGACCTGTCCTCAGTGTGACGAAATTCTCGCATCATGACTTTTTGTCCCCTTTCCCAAACAACAGGTGTATAATTTTTTCTTGAATAATATTTTGTGCGAAATTTTCTTTGGTTATCTTCAGCTTCTGCCAATCGGTCTCCTTGTTGTCTAGATTGCCTTTGTCTAAAATTTGGATTAGCCCAGTCTCCAGGCTTAGAAAGCTCTTGTCCTAACAACAAAACACTCGGTGGATAACCAGTGGCTCTGTTGGTCCTATTGTTTATGGCGAGAAGCATTTCATCAAATTTTTCATCCCATTTTGATGCACCTAAAGTCAACGTTTGAATTCTCAGAGCTTTTTTCAATTCTTGATTGCGTCGTTCCACTGGATTGGATCTTTGATGGAAAATTGGTGTGGTATAGTGTTCAATATTTGCATTTCTCAAGAATGATTTCCATGAGTTCTGGAACTGAGGTCCATTATCTGTGATAATGGACTCTGGATACCCCCATCTGCCGAATACATTTTTAAGAAACTTCAAAATTGAATGAGTTGTTGCATTGGACACCGTAATCGCTTCCAACCATTTGCTACAAAGATCTGTTACTACTAGTATAAATCGCTTGCCTTGAAGTGTTCTTGGGTAAGGCTCCATAACGTCAAAACTCAAAGTCTGCCATGGTTTCGTTGGAGGTCTTGGTTTGATTGATGCTTTGGATTGAGGTGCACCTGCTTTTGTTGAAGCACATATCAAGCATAATCTTACATGATGACGGACATCTTGCCAAACACCTTGCCAATGATAATTCTGAATTATTGATCTAAATGTCTCATCCCTTCCAGGATGGCAAGCAGTAGACGCATCATGATAGTCGTGTATAACTTTCGCTCTGACCTCCGTTGAAACTTCTATAGCTTTCGTATTTGATCCAATGTAAAAAAGTAATCCATCTTCCACAATATATTTCGATTTCAACTCGCGTTCTTTTCTTTTCAGCTGATCTATCGATGAATTTTGAATTCTCCGCCAAGTGGCGATGTCCCTTTGTATAGCGATATCTGAAACTTGCGCGTTTGCAACAGTCTCGTACAATCCACGCTCCGTATCCAAAATACTTATCGTTGGAGGTACCAGTCGATCATCGTACTCGTCTCTGTCATTTGGCTCGACATCTTCAGAGGGGTTTCTGGACAGAAAATCAGGAAACTGGTTATCTTTTCCTGAACAATGCTGTACAGTAAAAATGAATTCTTGTAGAAGTAAGGACCACCTGGTTAATTTAGCTTTTTCATCCTTGAATCTATCCAGCCAAGTGAGTGCACGACTATCCGTTATCAACGTAAATGGTTTATCTTCTAGGTAAGGTCTAAATTTTTTACATGCCCAAACAACAGCGAGTGTTTCTTGCTCGTTGATGTGGTATTTCTTCTCTGATTTATTGAATTTTGAACTAGCATAACAAATAATCTGACGCTGATCATCAGGACCCCATTGAAAGAGAACTGCTCCCATTCCATATTGGCTGGCATCAGTCTGGAGAATGAAAGGCAAATCATGGTTAGGACGATGTAGCATCAAAGGTTGATTTAGTGATTCTTGCAATTTTTTAAATGCCTGTTCAGCTTGTGGTGTCCACTTGAAAATTTTTTTTCCTGTAAGTTCAGTGAGCGGAGCCGTTAACGAAGCAAAATTTGGGATGTACTCTCGCAACCAGTTAGCTGTGCCCAGAAATGACTGCAACTCTTTCATCGTTCTTGGTCTAGTGAATGTTTTTACCCGAAGAATATGCTGTTCTTGAGGAATGTTTGACTGATCCGTTATTTTGTGTCCAAGATAATCCAATTCAGAAGAGCCAAACACACATTTTTTGAAAGAACATCTCAGGTGATGTATGCGTAATCTTTCCAATACCAAACCCAGATGCATAAGGTGTTCTTCATGATTTTTTGAATAAATGATTATGTCGTCTAAGTAAACCTTCGTGAAACGATCAATGTATCCAGCCAAAACTTCAGTCATGAGTTTTTGAAAAGTTGAAGGCGCATTTCTCAGTCCAAATGGCATCACAAGGAATTCATACATAGCTCCATCAGGGGTTCCGAAAGCTGTAAGCGGTATACTTCCTTCATGCATCGATACCTGCCAGTATCCGCTCTTCAAGTCAATTGAAGAAAATACTTCTGCATTTCCCAAGTCTCTGATCGTGTCTCGAATAGCTGGTAATTGTGACACTTCTGGTTCGGTTTGGTTATTTAACTGTCGATAATCAACACCCCATGTAGAGACATTCAGAAACGAAATCTATCACTGCTTGATGCGTTTGCAGCCAATCACGTCCCAATATCGCTTCCTCAGATAAAGATTCAACAATGTGGAACATTGTAGCAAATTCTTGTCCTTGAACCAAAACTGGAACTACAACATTTCCTAATGTATTCAACGTGTTGATGGAATTTGCTAGTCTAACAGTAGTCGGTTTCTTTATTATATTTGATTCGTTGACGAAACATGATTTCAAGAAGGAATGACTTGCTCCAGTATCTAACAATGCATCTACCGGCTGGTCGTTGATGAGAATTCGGATATGAGTTGAATTTCGGTCGTATGTGGTCTTATGTAGTGTGGTTAGGGTCGGGCGAGGGGTCGGGTATTCTGGCTCACACCGACCCTGATCTAGTTTTCCTGGGAACTGATGTTTCTATGATTTTCAGCTGAAAAATTGCGACGACTCTTTTGCGGACAATCTCTATTGAAATGCCAACCGTTACAATAATGGCATGGTGACCTGGGACCATCTGTTATTGGTTGTGTCGGTTTTTTGACTTCTTTCAAATCGTTTTCTATCACTGAAGCACCTTGTATAAGCTCTTCTATACTAGAGAATTCCCTACTTCTCAAGTTGATGCGCAACTCTGGTAACAGTAATTCAACCACTCTAGATATTATGGTAGTCTCTGGAAGGTTGGGTTCGAGTCGTTGAAACAAACTGAGTTTTCTAGTCAAAAAAACAGCAGCAGCTTCATTGCTCTGTTTTTCACCATAAAGTTTTGCGTACAACTTTCCATGAAGTGATGCGTTGTCAAAACGTTCCAGTAAACGATTACAGAATGAATCGAAGTGCAATTGCTTACCATGAAAAGCAGAAAACCATTTCTTTGCTTCACCTTCCAAAACTTGCTGTACTTGCATCATTTGGTGTCTTGTTGGTATATTATTTTGATCAAAGTATCGTTTCATTTCCTGGAGAAAATGTTGGGGAGATTCCCAGTCATAACCAGAAAAGCTTGTTATCTGAGCTAATGTTGGTTTTAGTTTGTCAGTTCTTATTTCATTCCACAGCTGAGCTGTTAATGAAGTAACCTCATGAAGGATTTCTTCTGTAGATGGGCGCCACGTAGTTTTTTCAGAACTACGAAACTGTGATTCGTTCTTCTCAGGGCATTCGATTTGTGGGTCGTTGTTACCATTTTGTTGGGCGCCATGTCGTCGTGAGACTGACGAAGGAGTACTCTGAGCAGCACCTTCCGGTGTGAAACCTTTCAGGTTATTTAACACCCGAGACCCTCTCCTTGGGAAGGAGGTTGCAGCAGGCGACTTCGTTGGCATATCCATGCCGAGTTTCAATGCAAAAACAACTAAATTATGAAAACTCCACGCTTGAAGGATAATTTAATTTCTTGATTTCTGCCACTGTCAACTGACAGGAAAATCTCATCCCTAATAACTACTGTGTGTTCATAGCAGAGGCGTCACTCTGCGACATTATTTATCCGATTGGAGAGAGAATGTCAATTCTCAATTTCATAGGATTTTTATTTCTCATGCTCTCCTTTTTGGATGTTCAACATATATAATTGCAATAACCCCCAAGTGGCCATTTCTGGAATCTGGACCAATGTTTATATGAATTTTTTTTTTGCTATTTTTGTTTCTATAATCTGTGGTTCAAATCTTATGTAATTTCGGGACACCCTGTATATTATAATTACGAAACTAACTTCTTTGGACAAACAAATCACGAATCAAACAGCCATAATCGTCTATTCTATCTATTGCCAATCTTACACTAATAAATTCAACTTTTAAAAATCAATATCCTCCAAGACACAGTTATACAGTATATGAATATGAAATTCCATTTCACAAAATAATACAAGAATACCTTGTTTATCCAAATATTCTTCTATTTTGGCATCATCCATGGCATCAACTGCTACAGATCTCCATAATTTTTGGAATTCTTCATCAATGGGTAGACTAGCAGTTCTGTCATTATAAAAAAGGACTTTCTTTTTGTCCATGGGTCTTGTGATGAATATAATTTCATTTTGATTTTGTAATATCTACAAAATATAAACTACTTGGAAACATTCATCAAGTAGAACATTTATAGTGGTTGACTATGAGTATGAGGGCCATAATTATGTAGGACGAATCGGGGCGTTCTTGTGCCATAGAAATTGGATTAAGTTCAATTTGATGCATAAAAACAAGCCAAGTAACTACCAAACTCGAATTCAGCTCACTTCTCAATTCTGATGTGTGAATTTTCTTTGCCGAAATTTTATTTAATTATTGAGTTTTACCTACGGCCACAAAGCAGTGCCGGATTAGACACGCAGCAAGAGTAGCAAATGCTACGGGCCCCGCGAATTGGGGGGGGGGGGGCGCCTGACGGCCTGTCTAACTGAAAAAATAAAATTAGGAGAAATATCTTGCATGCCTTGAACGCGAGTAGCGAAGCGATTAGTCTATGCTTTAGATCTGACCGATTGTGAAGAATACCAGCAACAGACATCAAGACGAATTCAGCGGCTGTAGCCACACTCGACGACTTTGTTGAAAATCAAACACCTGGCCAACGTTTTGAAGTTCAGGTGTTTATTGTCAAAAATCAAACACCTGGACAACGTTTTGAATTTCAGGTGTTTATTGTCATTATTGATAACGTACTGTCTGCTTTAACTAAACGAATGAAAGCATATCATGAAATAACTTGTGTTTTTGGAGTATTTCCACAGCTAAAATCTCAGACAACAAAAGAGATTTTGGAAAAATCCTCAATAATGGTCAGTTCTTATACAGATGATTTGGAAACCAGCCTAGGTTACGAATTAGTGCAGTTCGCTGAGCTGCTGAAAACGAATGTAGCTACTGTAATTCACAGCAACAAACCTCTGGAGGAGCCTCTGGGAATGCAATCTTATAAACTTATATTAAATAATTCCTCAGAATCGTGTTTCCCAAAATCGTAGAAATTGCCTTGCGAATTCACACTTGGCTCTCATGATCACTAACTGTAGTGGCGAACTTTTCTTTTTCGACATTATAACGTTTTTGAAATGAGTTAAGGAACACGATGGTCCAAGAATGTCTAAATCATCTTACTTTGATGGATATAGAGCATGACTCGCTCAAAGAAGTCGATATTGAAAGTGTTATCTCTAAATTTGCCCATATTAAATTCAGAAAAGTTTATATGTAATAGTTTTGATTTATTTTATTTAATACCCTAAACCTGAGAATCTAAAGCAAACCAAGGCCCCCTGGTATAATTCGCTACAAGCCCCGCACTGGCTTAATCCGGCACTGAATAAAAGGAGGCAAGAACACACGTGATACAGCCTCAGTAAGTAGCTCTTTACGCACAGTGAACACATCGCACAGTTTCCGTTTATTCCGCCAGTCATGATCGCGTAATCGCCGTCAAGAATTATAATTCAGACTGTTTGTCCAACTTTTTTGATGTTCTATAAAGTATAGTACATAATGAGTGTTGTAAAGCAATTACACACTCATGGAATTACTTTCCTATTTGTGTTTCTTACAACACATATTACATAATATACTATTAAACTAGTAGTTATCTCAGTGATGAGTTCAGAAAGAGCATCTTACAGAACAATAATGTGTAATGGTAGAGGTAAGAGCTTGCATCTATAATATTTTTGGCACCCCTGATTTTTACATTTCATTATTTGAATATGTCCATTGTTCAGTCATTGATCAGTGTTAAGCGTTTTGTGTTTCTTTGAACTAACTACAAAAATGATCAGAAAAATTTGTGGAATTCAGTAACAGGGATAATTGAGAATATTAGCAGCAATTTTGTGTTTGCAAATTGCTTACAAAATCATCATTTCCTTGAAATTTTTTCAATTCATGGGATATTTCATACCCACTGAGCCCCCCTGATATATTCTGTCTTCACAAAATCCCGTCTAAAAAAAGCCAAGGCCCTGCCACTAAATATACTCTAGCTACAGCCCTGGATGGTAGACTTAGGTATGGTATGTGCTTCTGGGACCAGCAGAAAAATGATGTATATGTGCCATTTGGTAAATGAAAACTAATACAATTATCCTAATCTCATGGCTCCACGAATTTTCAACTTACTGCCAACAAACATAAAGAACTGTGAAATAATATTTTCAAAAAATGACAAGACTTCCTGTTATATAACTGTTGCTACAGTGTAGATGTCCATTTAGTTTGTAAGACTATGCTATAACTGTCTTTGAGTAGGATCAGCAATCCAGTTGTGTTTGAGAATTTACATATTTTTTATGAAAGTGACATTGCCATCAACGTAAAAATATTGAAAACTGCTATTTTGACAGAGAAAATCTATCTTGATCTAGATTTATTATCAAATAAAGCAAAAGATATATCATGGAATGAATTTCACCTCTTTTTCAACAATTTCAATATTTGAAGAAATTAATTTATGATGTCTGCTGATTCAGTTACCATCATTTTACTATGGTTTCACTACAAAAATCGGAAATCTGTCATTTTGATTAGGAAAAAATTGGGGAAAAATTATCTTGCTATGATTTTTTATTGTCAAAACTCCCCTGAAGTAAATCATCAAAAGAATTCATGATGTCTCCTGATCTCCAAAAATATTTTGTCCTTATTGAAATTTCAGATTCTAGAATTTTATCAACTTTGAGGTGAAAAGGGGGTAAAATCTCGGGTAAAATAGAATCAACAAAGTCAGGAGACTTCACAACTTCATTTCATGGTAGGAATTTCATATATTTTTTACAAGAAAATCCAGAGCAAGGTATTTTATTACTATTCAAAATGACATATTTTCTTACTTTCTGATTGATAAGGTGAAAAAGGGGAAAATGGGCGCAACAAAATCAGTAGACACTATGAATAAATTCATTTCATGGTATGACATATTTTTATTTTTTTGGAGAAACTATCCAGGATTGAAGATTTGCACTCTTCTTGAAATTTGGTTGAAATATGGTTAAAATAAATGCAACAATATCAGAACATGTCATCAATTCATTTCAAGGTATAACTTTCCTATTTTTTGGCAAAAAAAACAGCAAAATATTTTCTATTCAAAATGTAAGATTTTGTAGTTGAAAATCAGCAAAATAAATGAGACAAAATCAGAAGACACCATCAACTAATTTGATTAGACACCTCATAGAAGCTTTGACAAGTAAATCCATATTTTGTCTGTCAAAATAGCAATTATCTTTTTTCAATTGATGGGTTCAGTTGGGGTGAAATATGCAACAAAATCAGTTGACATGAGGAAACTATTACATTTACTCTGAAACATTAAATATTCTGAAAAAGTGATTGATCATCAGCCTCTTTTGAGGAGAATGCAGTTTTCTAATTTATGTGAAACACCATATTTGAAAACTCTACCATATTTTTCATATTATTCTAGATTCAGAATACTGATTCTAAATCAGTAATCTCTAGGGTAGATTCACTATAGTGAATTATACCTTACTTGTACAATGTTGAAGTAGTTCATGAGAATAAAATTACCCTTAAGGCCTTTTCACAATGTGGTAATGACTCTTGGACATCATCCAACAATACACCACCTAACCCTTTGAGATCTTGTTGTTTCAGTAATTTCAGTAAACTCTTTCTATCCTTTAGTCTATAAAGAGCTTTGAATACAAATTTATTATCTGGAGTAACCTCTATTTTTGGATTATTCAAAAGAGCTTCAGTTTGCAGCCACTACAAGGAAAAAACAAATCCAATCAGGATGAAATATCAATAAAATGAGCATTTCCATTATGCTGACCTGTTTCACTTTGTTTCCTACATCAAGTTGATTTGTTTCATCTAAAATTTCCTCTAATGTGAGTGGGTATGTTTCACCATCTTGATGTCTTGTTCTCATGTGTTTCACAATTTTTGCTAGCACACCAAAACGATATTGGGAACTACCTGAAGCTGTCTTGTATCTGAAAAATCATCTGATAATGATTTAGCACTTTTGAGAAACTAATGACTTACGTATTGATGTCAAGCTTAGGAGCAGAGTTGCTGTTACTTGAAGATTTAGATTTTTTCTTATCATCTCTGGGGATTTCAGATTTTGGCTCAGATTTTTTCTTTTCTACCCTAAAATTTGGAACGAGAATTTAGATATACAGTATCTGTTGTGATGAATACCTTACGTAGGTGTTGTCAGAGCCTTCTTTTTGAATAGTTCTCTCTCTTTGAGCAAGGCTGGATCCATTTCTCAAAGAAAATATGGTAAATTATTTTTCGGGAAAACAATAATATTTTGGTTTGTTCATTAAGGTTAGGTGAAATCTTCTTCTTCCAATTTTGGCGTTTGTCAACTTTTTTCGTAATCGTCGTCGCCAAGCAATAGTGGTCCACAGTCGGGATACTTTCATTCATAGGCGTGTCAGAAGGGGTTTAAATTGAATTTTTTTTTTCAATAGTTCTCCGAAAGTCAGAAAGCTTGAAATGCACACGGTCCATTAGACCAATTCAGACCTTTGTCGTTCTAGATGACAACCTAGTTAGGTAGTTAGTAGGCAGGAGCTATAAATACCTCCTCGAGTCCTCTCGCACTAGGTCACCTACTAGGTTTTCATTTAGATCGACAATGATCAGACCATGCAAGTTCGATCTCGTGAATAACAATATGGCTCACAGATCTTATGGAATTAGATGTCCAGTTGTAGTTTATGTCGGTTATCTAGACCGCTGCCGTAAACTATCAGGGTATCACTTGGGTTTTACTTTGGGACACCTGGTATTTTCCCCACATCACTGATGATGTACTTTAAAACAATATTCAATATAACAGTAAATATGACAAATTTTGTTACTATTCATTCTTATTTATAAACAATACTCATATTTTTATTTTGGAGAAATATCGAGGAGAAAATACCAACAAATCTAGTAAAATAAATGAAGTAAAAATCACAAGCAAAATATTATTGAACCCATTTTCTAGCCATGAGCACTATAAATGTCTCTTGATGCATCGTTTTATCAAAACTAATCATGCGCAGCTATAATTATGTTCGATGTTTAAGAGGGAAACTTGGCCCTCAGATGCGACTGATATCGATCGAAACTGTTTTTCTAATTGACCTCGGAATTTAGTTATACTAACTTCATGATATTTATTGATTATCACATGGATGGATTATCATATATTATACACTCACCGGCAAAAAATACCGGCCAGCAGAGAATTTAATCAAAATATTTGCTTTATTGTAAAACTTTTTCAATTCTCATTCGATGGCAAAAGTGAGTGATAAAACTTAGCTTCATCATCTTTCGGTCGAAGTATGTGCGTGATCCCTTCTCAACACAATGGTTTTAAATTCACGTCAATATTTTCTTTTTAAGATTAGATTCAAAGGGTTTGAAGAAAGTAGGTATGGGTTTTTTAAATTTGCAGAACCTACATTGATTTAAAACTAGAAAAAATCTAAAAATTAGTATTACTCATTTCCAAACCGTTTTCAGCACTATAACCAGGATTTTCCTTTCGTGCGCTCCAAGAGATAAAAAAAAAAACCTTATTTACCGAGAATGAACAAGAAACAGACCTCCGAGACGTAGTTAGTCGGTATAAACGAGTATGCCTCCCTGCTCGAGCTTGCGAATTTTAGCCAGGTTGATTCAATCCAACTTATTAATTATAGTATTCGAGTTGCGATCAATTTTTTCTAACAGTTCTTGAGTATTTGCCTCTTGAAGATTCTCTGACAAGGACGGATGAACGCGAATGAGCCTCTGAGTTTATCCCAAAGCTGTTCTAATATGTTCTGAATTATTGTTAATATAAATTGAAAAATCTTAAAACTTAAATCTTAAACCGCAGCAATAGTGCGAAACTTCTTAGAAGCTACTGGTATTACCACATTACAATGGCCTGCGAGAAGCCCCGATATGAATCCTAAAGAACATTTGCGGGATGAATTAGGGAGAAGGGTACGTTCTTCGCGAGAGGTCTCCGTAAAGTCTCGCAGAAATGGCAGATACATTTGTGGAAGAATGGGATCGTATACCAATGGAAACGAAAAGCAACTCAATTTCCAGTATGCCTCGTAGATAAGAAGTTCTTAGAGTTGCTAGAGGAGGCAATACACGGTATTAAGCAGTCATCCCAATTTATAATTTTGTGTTTATTAAAAATGTTTTTTCAAATTATTGGTGCCAGTTTATTTCATTAGAAAATTGTTTCTCGATAAATTCGAAAGTTGGTAATCTGCAATGTGATCCTACCAGAGTACAACCCAATCAATTTTGAGTACTCTGATCCTTCAATAAATATAATTTGTGGGATAAGCGTAAGGTATCAGCAAAAAAGCTGTAATTCGAAAAATTTTAGAGATAAATCAATGAATAAAAAAACAAAATGCTCGCAAAAGAAGCCTCTTTTGTATAGGGTGTAAGCACTTTCTATGCCAGTACTCAATTAACACACAGGGTGAGTCAAAAATTAGGAATGAATCATGGTTTGAGTTATTCCACCACCATCAAGGAGGCTTTGAAAAAATGTTCACCTCTTTATTTTTTTTTAAAGACAAATGCATTACCTACCAACAAATAAAAAAAATAAAATTTGCCTACTATTTTTTGTTTTGTTTTTTCAAGAAGATAGGTCAAATATCAAGTGCATCACTTTCTTTGGAACTGATTGTATATTTGATCGGTGTCCCAAGAGCATCAGCATTTAAGGGTTGAATGACGCTTTCAATTCGTGGATAATATCAAGCATATATCTTGGGAGCATAGCTTCATGTTTCCAGCATGTAGTTTGCTGCCCGCCCAGTAGCGGAGAAGAAATGGATATCTTAGCTCCCTTGATAAATTAATAGCTATTTCTTACCTCAAATTAGGTATGAATCTGAAGTCGGTCTTCCTTTTTTACAGGCAAGGAAATTTATTATTGAAGAATAATTGAAACAACAATTGCTGTGAATAATTATAATATAGGAAAATCAATAATACTTTAATACCTTAATAAACTCAATTTAATTATACAAACAGTCTTAATATCTCAACCATGTCAACAATAACCTTTCCACGATCCTTCAAGCCCTGTATAGATAAGAAAATTTTGAGAAGATAATGTCTGATTATTGCAAGTTCATACAAAAATAGCTTATGGTGATCATATTCAGAATTTGGAAAACAAAACAAATGTGTGCAAAATGAAGCGCGTCAACATTTTAAATGAATACCTTGGCCAATTCCTTCTTGTTGACCTTTCCCATCGCATTTTTTGGTATAGACTCCACAACTCTCAGTACAGAGGGCACCCAATACTTGGGCATCTTTTCATCTGCCCAGCTTCTCAAATCCTCCAAGGCCATTTCTTTTTCTCCTCGGAGCACTACGAAAGCCACCACTCTTTGCCCCCATTTATCATCATCGACTCCGACTACAACGCATTCTTTGATGTCGGGGTGTGCCAGAAGTTGCACCTCGATTTCCAACGCGCTCAGTTTGTAGCCACCCGATTTGATGATGTCCACACTTTTTCTACCCAGAATTTTGAATTTTTTCTTGTCTGCTGCGTACTCGCATAAATCGCCTGTCTTGAACCAGCCATCACTAGTGAACTCTTTGCGTGTGGCTTCGGGCCGATTGAAGTATTCCTTGAAGATGCCATCTCCTTTCACCAATAATTCACCTATAATACAATAAAATAATTGGGAAGTTTCCTATATTGAAATTTTTATCTCACTGTGAAGTTTGTAAGAAATTAATATACATTCTGTCCAAGATAAGGTTGAACAGCATGGGGATCTCGAAAACGGTAGGAGATACGAAGTCGGTTAAATGGGGAAAAAGTTGCGCATTCGCAGGCTCATATCAAGAGCCTTCGAAAATTTTTAAAATTATTTTTAGTTTTTGAGTTATATCGAAAAAAATCAATTTTTGGAATATCTATTTCATTTTTTTTCTCCTTCATTATTAGAAATACAGAAAAATTGAAAATACTTTTTCATAGCAACTTTTGATGACGTTTAACGTGGTGATAACGATTTTTTTATGCGACGTTTCGTATTCGTAGAACCATCACCTCCTTTTGTTTTTCAAATACGGTCCTGATAATTTTTTCACAGATTCTGAAAGGTTGTTTTATTCTGAATTCAACCATGTATATTATACAAGGTGGTTTATGTGTGTTTCGACCTATTTTTAGCCATCATCAAAGTTTTTTCGAAATTCCAAAGGAAAAATGCCATCAGTTCCACTTAATTTCAAGGAAAATTAGTCAACACACTAATACCTCATCAACTGGTTTCAATCAACAACCCATTTCATTTTGCGGGAACAAAAATTCCATCCATACAAATTCAGAATATGTCAAGCGCTAAAACCAGACGATGACGAAAGGCGCAGGACATTCTGTGAGTGGTATACCAGGAATTGTCAAACTATTGCAGATTTCCCTCGAACAATCACCTGGACTGATGAAAGCATGGTCACTAATCATGGTATCTTCGATAGAAAAAATACACATTATTGTTCACGAGAAAATGAACATTTATACATTACAGCGAGACACCAACATCGTTTCGGCTTCAATATGTGGGTTGCAATATTTGGTATACGAATTATTGGTCCTTTTATTTACCATGAAACACAGACTTCCGAACGTTATAGAAATTTGCTTGAGAATCATCTTGAGGAAGCTCTGGATGATTTACCGATTGCGGAAGTTCAGAACTGTTGGTTTCAACAAGATCCGGTACATAATTCCAGAGAAGTCCGTGCGTTTTTATCCAGAAAAATGGATTGGTACTTATTCTACAGTCCCTTGGCCGGCGCGGTCGCCTGATTTGACACAGCTGGATTTTTTCTTAGGGGATATATCAAAAACTTTGTATACGCAAATAACTTTGATGATGAAGAAGAACTAAGGGACAGTGTCATCGAAGCATTCAATAAAATAACCCCAGAAATGCTTAGTAATGTCTTAGAAGCAACTGTGAGAAGAAGATATCTTTGTTCAGAAAATAATGAACATTTGTTATGAATGTTTCTATAGGTATTGTCAAAGTTAAGTTGTTAAAGTAATTCGTGTAAGAATTTATCAACAGTTTTAAGCGCTGCATTGAATGATGTAGTGAAATATTTTTTATTCACTTCTCAGTATTGAATAACTAATCCATCAATGTTTGACACTGAATGATCAGAAATGAGTGGAACTGATGGCACTTTTCCTTTGGAAGTTCGAAAAAACATTGATGATGGATAGAAATTGGTCGAAACACATTCAAATCACCTTGTATAATACATGGTTGAATTCAGAATGAAAAAACCTTCCAGAATCTGTGAAAAAATTATCAGGACCGTATCTAAAAGACAAAAGTTGATGATGGTTCTACGGATACGAAACGTCGCATAAAAAAATCGGTATCACCACGTTAAACGTCATCAAAAGTTGCTGCGAAAAAGTATTTTCAGTTCTTCTGTATCTCTAATAATAACGGAGAAAAAGAATAAAATAGATATTACAAAAATTCACTTTTTTCGATACAACAAAACTAGAAATAATTTTGAAAATTTTCGAAGGCTCTTGATATGAGCCTCCGAATGCGCAACTTCTTTCCCATTTAAACGACTTTGTATCTCCTACTGTTTCCGAGATCCCCATGCTGTTCAACCTTATCTTGGACAGACTGTATACATATTTTCTCTTATTTTCGTAAGATCAAATTTCACTTCAGAAAAATATAAATAAAAGAGGAACTTGGCTCCTCCACCATTCCTATGACGTACTTTCTGAAAATCCACATTCACACAGTTAAAATACGATTCTCTGTGCCAGTACGACTTTGCCGACATCATCAATATGTCTAGATTTCCGGAAATTGTTCTTTGAATGCCTAATAACCATATCATAACAGCAATGGGATATAATAGGTTCTTCAATCTTACTTTGTCAAGTATTATGCATAATTCCCATAAATCTCTCATTGGCTGAATGAAGTTCTTTACTTATGAATATGATTTATGATATTTTGCTATCGTCATATTACAATATGTTATTCATAATTTGTCAGTTATTTTCTTGCTAATGGATTCGTTCCTTGATAAAACGGATCTATTTTCTAGGAAAGTTGCAGATTATATCTTGCAACAGCGCCTAATACTTCCAGTCCGTCCACACCACTCAAAATACTTACAGGCCCAACAAGAGGAAGGAGCCATGGGTGACGGCGTCATTCTGTTCTGACCGATGGCAGGAAGTTAGGAAGGATAGTATCATTGAATGTAGCCGACATTGATTCATTGATTCAATGATATTTTCGTTTAGGATCGAGCACTATTCGAGACATTTCAATGCATAAATAACAAAATCATAACCTGTCAGAATGAAGCCAACTACCTTATGCATTCTTGCTCCGAGTGCATTAGTGGTTATGTATGTTTTTGTTCACCAGTTTTACTTCTTCTTCTATTTTTTCATCATTCGTTAGCTATTTATTAGCTATTCGCTAGCTATATTCTTCACCATCAGCTATTTTCAGACTAGATTCAGAATGTGCGTCACAGTTTGCCGCCCCGAAAATTAGAAATTGCTTCAATTTGAAAATGAAAACGACTTGGACTTTATCGGTCGCCATCCTGTACAGCGTGGACATAAAACTGGAGAGTTCCGAACTTATTTTATGAAAATCTGAGGGAAACTTCCACATTGTCTAGATACAGTTTGATCCCATACACGGATCCAGTTGGATTCAGTTTTCCTCTGAACAGTTAATCAATGACCTAGGTGTACCCCAAGGATCAGTTTTACGACCGATCCTCTTCATTCTCTATATCAATGAGCTGACATCTGCATTGAAGAAGTCATTTATTTGTTCGTATGCTGATTACTTTTCTCCTACTCAAATCAATCGGCAAACCATGTATATTCTACAATGGAATCATTTTATACAATTCATTGCCTCATAAATTGAAATATATTGATGATGAAACAAGATTCAGAAACAATACGAAAAAATATATACTTATGTCACTATATTTATTCTTACTTGAATACTGGGATTGATTTTGTTCTAACTATAATGTTATATTGACATAACTTGTTAATCAGTTGTTTTTTTGTTATATGTATACATATGTGTATATATCCATATTATAAACAAAAATGTTTCTTGGGGTAATATAGAACAACAATAACAAAATTGGTTCAGTGAAAACTCGTTATTTTTAAATGCTCCTAAAACGAAAACAGTAGCTTTTCATAACGCACAAAATAATAACACAGTAGACATCCATATTGAAATATCCGGTGTTGAGGTAGGAAGAAGTGGAAGTATAAAATGTTTAGGGCATTTTCTAAACAGCAACCTCAATTTCCGTCCGCACTGCGAAAATATTAGTAAAACTCTCAATAAGCAGTCTCACTTGCTAAGATACCTCAAGAGAATTTCAACTGCTAACCACTAAAAAGTCGTCCATTTTTGTTCCAAAATTAATTATTGAAGTTGATGTTTCTTTTACTGACAATAAAGTGATTAGCATGTATGTTGCTAGGCAACACTTTTAGTGTCTAGGAGCCAAAGAAGAAATTCAACTCCTAGGAACTAAAAACGTGTCAGATGACAGCTGATATGATAGCTGCTTTGACACTAACACGCTCAGGTAACTAAAAATAGTGATAACTTCACTTATATTTAATTAATTAGATATCAATTATTTCGATTGCAGAAAAAATAGCATGTTTCATTTGGATCAAAAGTAACTCCGTTCGACTCGCAAAATTTTCGTTCTCGGCTTCGCGGTCGCTCCGCTTCGCGAACGCAAATATCGCTCGTCAAACAAAGTGTCACATTTGATGCTAAATAAAACAGAGTACTGTCTAGTACAGCTCTGGCCTGCTAGAAATTTTACCGCCCGTGAAAACTGACGCCACGATTTCGTAAGTAGGAGCAGACCATAGCACAGTTGCCATGTGTTGAAATACGATTGGGAACTTCAAAATATTAGTAATTCAATAATCCATAAATTCTCAATTGAGTATTGGTAATATTCCTAATTAGCAATAAAAATTCAATTGTCTCAGAATGTTTCCTTAACATTTGTGACTTATTACTTATAATAAATTTGTTTTAATAATAATTATATCAATTCACACTAGAGGACATGTGAACCTACCACCACTACAAATATATATTCAAGGCGAAGCCAGAGCAGTCGTGAGTAGATTGTCAAGGGGTCAAGCACCCATAAGCAACGAGCACGGTAAAGACTATAGGAAGCTATATAAGAGTTGGAAAGCGACCCCATCATGGGGATGCCAACGGATGGCATAATTCCAAAATATAGCTTTGAAAAAACGTTTAAAATAAGTATAACGGACAGAGAGGCATGGAAGGAAGGACCTCTTATCAATGCAGACATTGCTTTCTATACTGACGGCTCCAAAACTGAGGAAGGATCAGGAGCTGGTATTTATGGGGCCAAGCCAAAGACAAGAATCTCACTGAGCTTAGGCAAATACGCGACGGTGTTTCAGGCAGAAATTATTGCAATACATCATTGCGTGAAAGAATTGATAAGGCAAGAGTTTATAGGCAAAACCATTGCAATCTATTCAGATAGCCAGGCGGCAATCAAAGCAGTCAACTCTATGCAAGTTAACTCAAAACTAGTATGGGACTGCTTAGAAACCCTAAATGCACTGGGCAGTCAGAACAGATTGACTCTAGCATGGGTACCACGACATACAGGGTACGAGGGCAATGAAGAGGCAGACTCACTTGCCCGAGCAGGAGCAAACAAAGCTCTTTATGGCCCAGAACCCTCCTGTGGTATTGCGAAAGCTATACAAAAGACTAGTATCAAATCATGGATGCAAACCAAATCTCAAGAATGGTGGAACAACTCGCCAGGAATGAGACAGGCAAAATACTTTATTAAAAAACCATCGCCAACATTCACAGAATATCTACTAAGCCAGAAACGAAGTTCAACTAGAATACTAGTGGGACTTCTCACATTGTAGGATCAACAGACACATGAGTACGATAGGTCTGACTGAAGAACTGCTGTGCAGGTTCTGTAAAGAAGAGGAAGAAACAGCAGTACACATACTTTGCCACTGTGAGGGCTTGTCAAGACTAAGGTTCCTTACGCTGGGTGAGGAAAAACCAGGAGCCCAGAGATACACAGGAGATCTGAAAGCTAGCCTATGGAGTCTCATAGAGAAGGCGGGGCTAGCCGAAGAACTCTAATCGATTTTGAGGGCAGACACAATAGATCTGAAAAGGTCGCAGTGTGGAGGCAGATAGCCCGAAGGCCCCATTCCAAATCTAATCTAATCTAATCCATAAATTCTCAATTGAGTATTGGTAATATTCCTAATTAGCAATAAACATTCAATTGTCTCAGAATGTTCCCTTACGATTTGTGACTTATTACCCCTTATATTATAAACCCTTGGATATTTAAGTTTTTTGTTAAGAATTCAGAAAAAATCTTCTACCTACCTTTGTGATTTTCGCTTTTGTAAACTTTCTGTGCAAAATCCAAACTGCCACTATTGTTGGTGCATTCCAGGATAGTTCTGAGTTCTCCGCTCTCTTCATCACTTTCCACTAGTCTCACTGAAACTCCAGGCAATGGTACCCCTACGAAACCAGGCTCGCGATCCGAATTATATTCGTTTGACAACACCATGCCCGACTCGGTCATTCCATATCTAAAAATATTCAAGTTTGTCACTATAATGAATATCAGGCAATTATTTCCTGTCACAGAAAAAATACTGTATTATACACGGGAAAATATTAGATTTTAGTTCACACTACGCGTCGGGAGACAACGCAACCTGGAGCTAAAATCTAATATTTTTCCCGTGTATAATACACTATGTTTTTCTGTGACAGAAGAAAGGACGAATCAATATTGAGAAGATATTACATTATTTTGAAATCTGAAAATTATCGACGTGAATTTTAAGTTTTCAACAGTAGGGACATCTGCGTTGTAGGCATCTTTATCATTCTTTTGAAGTAATCGAATATCTGATGTCACTTCTGTCAGTCTAATTCTGTGATTTGATTTCAAAAAATTGCGAATTTAGTGGTTGTTTAGTAATATACGTAACCGCGAAGTCGAATAAAAGATAAAAGGACTTGCAGTTCTTTCTCGGAGACGGTTATTATTGACTCATTTTTCGGAACTATAGCACAACAAAATCCATCAACAGTATATATATATATATATATATATATATATATATATATATATATACCGGGTGTCAACGAATCTATTAGACGAGTCATAACTTCTAGACCATTAGGTGTATCAAAATGAGATATGGTATAGGTAAATGGTATTAGGAGAGGAGAGTTTTCACATATTTTTCACTTTCCGGTCACTTCCGGTTTCACCGAAAATGGCTCCGGTTCTAAATTTTTAAATGGAACACCCTGAATATTGTAAAGTTTTCGGATTTCTGAGACAATCCTAGATCAGAATATGACATTCTCGAAAGTTTTTATGTCTACTTGATTTTTTCGGAGTCACTTTTGAAATTACATCTAGGTGGCCATGATCGGAAGTAAACTAATCTAAGGACCTCAGGTGATATCAGAAAATTACAATCGCGAAGTTTTAGTGACAAGTATGATAGATATGAATGAGACAAGTTGGCAAAATTACATTTTCGTTTCTAACTATTATTTTTCAAATGGCGACCATTTTTGACATTGGATTACAACAAGAACATAAATTAAATATTACTGACGAAAATACTTCATAATAATTTATTTACTACTAAAAAGGATATTTTGACGAATATAACGATACTAATTTATTTGCGATTGGATCAACAAATTTAACAAAATTAACAATAACTTCAGCGATGCACTTACATTTTTTTCAATTTCCTAATTTCTTAAAATTTTCACTATAGTAAATTTTCAAAGTGCATTCCTCCTTGTTCAAGACACATTTCAGCTCGTTTAATTGTTTATCTCAACACATTCGTAACATTTGTGGCGTTATACTTCTAAATGCCTGTAGAATCCTTTCTTCTAAGATCTCGAGAGTGGCTGGGGTTGTTCCATAGTAGACCCTTTCTTTAACATATCCCCAAATGAAGAAATCTAGCACAGTCAGATCCGGGCAGGCCACCGTACTGATCCTTTGGTTGCAATTACTTGATTATTGAAATGCTCTATCAAGTAATCAAGAACGTATCTGGTATTATACGGGGGTGCTCCATCTTGTTGGAAGTAAATTCGCCTTGAAACTGCTAAAGATAGATTATTAAGATGATCCTAGATTTCATTTTGAAGAAAACATAAGTACCTAACCCCTGTTAACTGAAACCTTGAAATAATATTGGTTCAATTTTTCTGTTTCCAACAATAGCAGCTCAGAGATTGACGCCGAACCTTTCATGAAAATTGCCCTCTCTCATTGCATGTTGATTTTGTTGGGCCCAGCACAGAGAATTTTGCTTATTAAATAAGTCATTATTTGTAAATCGTGATTCGTCGGAAAATAGAATGAAGTAGATAAAATTTGGGTTAACTCGTCTATCGCCATCGTCAGCATACAAATGTTGATGTAACTGATATTTAAATGCTCGATATCCGTGCTTTTTCAATATTTTTCTTTCTGATTCGTGACTGATCTGCATTTCTCGACTTATTTCTCTTGAAGAAACCGTTTTGTCAACCTCAACCATAGCAAGAACGTTAATCTCAGTCTCCTAATTTATGATAAACCTCTGTTCTGCCTCTCGATTTCCCTCTTGCCTAAATCTATCCTCAACATACGGAAAATACTGATGGGATGGATGTTGCCGATTGGGATATCTCTGAGCATACAACTCAGCAGCATTCCTTGAATTTCTGTGACATTCTCCAAACAATAACAACATATCCACTTTTTCACTTTGAGTATACATTATTTTGACGGAAAATCAAACTAAAATTTAACGAAAATCAAGAAAATTTCACCTTCTGCTCTTGAAGCTTATGTCACTGTCATAACCTAAGTGAGTGTTTTGTTCTCCCAAGAAGACTTGATCGAAATTACTGCAAAATATTATGCATCATTCCTATCCTCGACACACTTGACAAAAGTAAATGAATTATTATGAAGTATTTTCATCAGTAATATTCAATTTATGTTCTTATTTATAATCCAATCGCAAAAAAATTAGTATCGTTAGATTCGTCAAAATATCCGTTTTTCGGAAAGTGCTTGTCAAAAAATGGTCGCAATTTGAAAAATGATAGTTAGACACGAAAATGTAATTTTGCCAACTTGTCTTATTCATATCTATCATACTTGTCACTAAAACTTCGCGATTGAAATTTTCTGATATCACCTGAGGTCCTTAGATTAGTTTACTTCCGATCATGGCCACCTAGATGTAATTTCAAAAGTGACTCCGAAAAAATCAAGTAGACATAAAAACTTTCGAAAATGTCACATTCTAATCTAGAATTGCCTCAGAAATCAAAAAATGTTACAATATACAGGGTGTTCCATTTAAAAATTTAGAACCGGAAAAATGGGAAAAATGTAATTTATGAAAAGTGACATTTTATAACCTGCCAACAGAGATGAAATGCCAAACTTTTTTCCCGTCACAGAAAAAATAACTATTTTCTTCCATTTTTGTTATATTCTCTTCCTTTTTTCATTGGGTTTCATTTTACAATTTTTTTTTCGGCTTCAAAAATTATTGACCCGGGTCTATTAGCTGTAAAATAATGAATATACAGTGAGTCCAAGATGAGGATGTCTATCATCGGGTATAGTTGATGTTGGTTTCTCCGAAACGAAACGTCGTACGGAAAATGACTCAACGCTATTTTGTATAGCTTCAAAAATGAGAATGAGAAAGAGTCTACTGTTATCCCTCTCTTCAATTAACGTCAGAAAAAAATAAAAACGATTCCCATGATAGACATCCTCATCTTGGACACAGTGTATAAGAGTTCTGACCGACCTTTCTAGTAGTTTGTGACCGGATATCTCCATCCATCGCTCGTACACGGGCACAGGCAGCGGCGCCGAACCGCTCACCATCAACCTAACCTTGTTTTTGAGCGTGTTCTTGATGTACTCCACCATCTTGGCGTCGTCCTTAAACCATATAATATCTATTAAATACCATATAGATCACGACCATCATTATAACACGAAAACTTGAATTCACTTTTCGTAGACGAATGACTACACATATTCATAAGTGATGTAATGCGACGTTGATTTGACATTTCATATTCAAAATGAACGAATTTACGTACATTCATCTCCCAACAATCTCAGATTCAGAAAACAGTAAAATCAAAATCTGTCGGAAATCTGAGAAATCTAGTCTGAGAAGTCTAGTTCTAGTCTAGTTCACGACAATTTATGCACCTTGTTCACGACTAGGTGAACCCATTTCAGTATGGTTTTTATTGCTATCTTCTAAGATTTTGTCATGGTGAAATTCTCGTTTAAGTTTGTATGTTGGAACAATGTTGTGGATTTCAAAATTGTGGATTTCAAATTTGATATATCTACTATTACTGTGATAGATTCAGATTCATACTGATTTAGGATATTCTCTTGTTATATGTTTATTTGTATTTGTTGTGTTTAATATTTACATAGGTATATATTTATATATTTTTTCCATCTTGTAATAATATTTGTGATTATAATGTATGCAATGGATAACCGTAAATAAAGTTCTATTCTATTCTATTCTATCATCTACTGCCCAATACTGATTTTTTTTATGAACAATAGGAACAGCTTCAGAAGAAGTGGAGAGAATGTGGAACCTCACTCATTGATTTGTTACTGGAACCAAGAGTAATCAAATTCTCTACAAATATGAAGACAAAACTGTTAATAATAGCGTCTCTACAAAATTGATGAGGAAATTTGATATGAGAATTCCCACAATTCATTACACAGCAGCATGTATGCTTTCTTCTCAATAGTTTATAAAATTATATTTCAATTCTGACGTTCATAGAATTTATTGTCATATTCAATTGAATGAAAAAGTGCAGGACGACTAAACATTCAGGGCCGGTTGCATATAGAAAAAATAAATCATACAATCAACTGATGCCACAATAACTTTGATAAACAACCTGATGTTATAATAATCATTCCATTGACTAATGATGAGAAGGGCGTGGCAACAGCGCTAATCTGTCTGCTCCTTGCGTTCCGCGCATTGTTGATATGCATTTCAGGTTAGGTTTATTTACTTGATTTTCATTTGATTTACAAAAGTTACGAAAGAAAGAAAAAAGTAAGGGAAGTTTTGCATAATACCTAGGTATGATTTCAATATTTTAATTGATATCTTTCGTTCAAAACTCATGAAGCTATTATATTCATCTTGTCTACAGGTATTGAAAGATTATTGAATGCAAACAATCGGATGCGATATGTCTAAAAAGAAAACGAGATACATGGATGAAAATCCAGAATGAGTTCAATTCCATTACAACTGGTTTAGAAAACCTGAATCGGGTATTGAAATCATTGTCATCATACATTTCAAATGGATTGTTTCTATTTCTGAAGGTTCTTGGCCTGGGAATCAGTAGTTCTTCTTCAGATAGTGTTTGGGATCACACGTTAAAAGGTAAGGCCCCCGTCATTCCTTGCTCGCACAAGACTTTCGAAGACTTTTGAGGGTTGCTCGTAAGGGGGCAACCGAATGACGGATAGAACAAATTTTTTTTTTTAGATAGTGAAGACAATGATGAGGTAGACATTTTCTGTAATATAATAGTAATTTTTACATTATATTGTTCATTTACCTAACCTACCTTTTTGAAATGAAACAAGAACTAAGAACTCGAAAATTCTGCGAAATATTCAAAATAATTTGGCGGAATTTGCTGGTTGTCACTTTGATCAGTGGTCGAGCACTGATTAAGTTGATGCCATGAATAAGTCGATTTGATGTGATATCTAAAGTTGATTGGCATTTGTGCAACCGATTCTTTAGTTGAATAGTCATCATTATAAGTTAATTAGATGAGCAAGTCACCATGCCATTAGGAACATGATGGGCCTTTTATGCAACCGAATTCCATTTATACGATCGCATCAAATATTTGAAGTGACATCAAATAATTGATGAGCTTTTATGCAACCGGCCCTGACTATTTAACTAAACAGTTGTCATTTCTGTGTACGAAAACTTATCTAACTAAAACCATCCAGTGACTTATAGATACATGCCTTGAAGACGCGCTCGAACTCTTCGATCAGCAAGCTGTAAATGGTCGGCACGGCCATGTACACGGATATCCTCCTGTCGTCCGGCTTGGCGTTGATGCCGAGCAGGTACGTCCACACCGAGTTGGCGTTGAACTTGTTCAGCATGATGGTTTTCGCGCCGACGTAGAGCGGACAGAGCAGCGCGTTGACGATGCCGTGCACGTGGTGGAGGGGCAGCGTGTGCAGGATGACGTCGTTCTGGGTCCACTTCCACGCGTCGACCAGGGTGGTTATCTGACATTGGAGGTTCTTGTGGGAGAGGACGACGCCTAGAGGGTAACAGTTCATTCAACATCATCATTGGTGTGATTCCAATGAGGGCTAACATTATTAATTGTCCACCAAATCGCGCCACTGAAACGTTGGGTCAGAGTTGATATAGTAATTTTCCTAACAAGTGCGGAAAGTTATTCTTTCCCGCACGCGACTGCCGTTGACATGAACGACGCGAAGCGGAGTTCGTGAACTTACAGTTTGACGCATTATGTTGGTTCATTGCGGAAGCCAGCAGGCCATAAGGAGTTTGGTGTCAGGATTCAGACACTTCTATGAAATAAACCAAAAATACCTATTCTTCATTCGGTATTTTCATTTCATTATTGTTGCACCATTCAATAAAACGCGTGTATAGCTTCCCATACCTTTTTCAAGACTTCGTTGGTAATAACGCATCTGTATCGAATCGCTATAGCTAGAAGTTTTTGATCACATTGTGGCATTTCCACTGAATCGAAAATGACAGTAACGCTGTATCTGTCACTTCGACAATTTCAAACTTATTTGAGGTTTGATTGGCATGACAACAATAATCGTTTTCCATCAGATCAATCCAAATCTATAGGGGGATTTTTACAATAATAAATTTGTATTTCTCAATATTTCTTGATTTTCACAATGAATAGTGCAATTTGATGGATGATTCTGAACATACATACTTAATACTGCAACAAACAAACTTAAACTTTTATATTCCATCACCAACCACTTATATTATTAGCGATTTTATCATATCTTAGTTTTCCCGCACTAGTGTGGGAAAATTTTCCCGCACTGTTGCGGGAAAATGACACTTTCCAAACTAAATTGCGTGCGGGTATAGGGTGAATCACGCACGCTTGTAGAAAAAATATATTTCTTTTCGTACCTTTTGACCTCTTCTTACGATATCTTCTTCTCCGTTAATGTAAGAATTGTTCTTATAACTCATAACTTGAGGTTTTCTATTTGTTCAAATATTCTGCATAATTTTTTTCGAATATTTTTGATAAAACAGGGCATAGCCTTTAGGACTATCCGGCAAAATTTTTGAATTTTTTACGTTGACATTGACCTCACGTTTTAGTAGCGCCAACTGGTGAGAGTGAGAATGTTAGCCCTCATTATTTATCATTAAATATGAATAAAACTAATGTAATCTCATTTAAATTTGCTTCTGGAAACTCAAGTCTTCAGAATCACGCCAACAAAACTAAGACGTGCACCAAATTCTTGTAATTATGGATTGATAATACCCTGAAGTTTGATGGACATATAGAATATATCTCAACAAAAACCTTGCATCAGGCTATTACTCATAAAAGTGCAAAGTCCACTACGCCTCATTGCAATGTTATGTATAATATCTGAGATGTAACAATATTTTTGAATCGCTTTTACTAGGTATTAATACATCTGATCGTCACGGAACAAGTTCACCTTTTATTGTGGTGTGAAATTCCATAATCCGAGATTCAATTGTCGGAAAATATGCATACGAAAAATTTGGAGCAATATTTAATGTAGCCCCATCCTGTATTATACACTCCTGATGGAAATTTTGGAATGATTTCATTTTCATTGCATTGGGCATGGAAATTTTAGTTCTTGTACCACATTGCATCTTTTTTTACATGTTTATTGAGGATTTTCTTTATATTTTTGGTAGTAAAAGCCGCTGGTGAAGTTTGGCAGGCTAATTTTGGGACACCCTGTATATATATATTATCATTATTATTATTATTATTATTATTATTATTATTATTATTATATATGTTGTGTGATTCAGTACCAGCATTTCGTGTTATGTTCAGAATATCGACGGGTGCTGGTTTTATGACTAAGATATATTGAATGCATGATTAAGGAGTTACATAATCTAGATAAGAGAGGTGACAGGGAATAGTAAGGATGACCAGTACAGTTAAGTCTAAAGAGGTGTAAGGGTGTTGTGAAGAATACAAAGTCGATATTCGAAGTCGTGGATATTATTTAAACAGCTTCCCAGTGCCCTCCCCCCCCCCAAACACTTTTTTCTAAGATCAATGATTCAGATTCAGATTTATTCAGATACCATAAGTTACAGGAAATTTTGATATAATGTTGACATTATGTTTCCACTTAAAAAACGAGTAATCTACCTAAGCAATTGAGATGCTTGTATCGTAGCATTATGTTATTTTTGAGTGGTCTATGGATGAATTTGATATAAGCGAACTGATCGTGAAATTGGTCAGTTTATCAAGATTCAAGAATTAAGATAAGATAAAAAGATAAAAAAGATACCAAAAAAGATAAAAAAAAACGACAACTTTAGGAATCTATAGCGAACGCGAGAGGTGAAGGAATTATGGATATGCTGAGATTCATTGTGAGAAAGAGAAGCTAGAGATTTCAGCAATTGTTTTAATTTCTTTTTATTTATCATTTACTTTTCTAATGGTGCCTTTATTATTTAAAAATTTTCAATATATTTTCATTCTTATACTGGAATATGAATTGATTGATTGAAAATTTATATTTTGACAAACGGTTAGTGATTTTGATATGATTTGGTAACAGATTATGTAATTTTGGTCCATAAAAAAAATTATTTGTGTATGCGTTTTCCTAAATATTGGTAAGACGATTGACTCATTTCCGACAAATCTGGTGTGTTTCAATTTGTGAGTGTCATATTTGTCTTTATTGTGAGACATCCAAATCAAACATTGGTAGACATAAAGGCTTCTTATATCTAATATTTGGATTTCATTATAGAGCTGTTCAGTAGAAAATAGTTTATTTTTTTATGTATTATTTTCAGTAATGTATTCTGCATTGATTGTAATTTCATCATCATATTACTGAATAATCCTCCCCACGCTGTAATGCAGTATCTGAGAACTGATTCGGCTAATGAATCATATAGTATCATCAAGTTTTTTTTTACTCAAGATCTCTCTGATGCTGTAGAATTTGTGAATCAATTGTCTAAATCTTATAGTTATAGTTATAATTAATACCTTTAGGATTTCCAGTGGTTCCACTAGTATACAGAATCAGAGCTTTGCTGTTATCATAAAATTCCAGAGGTAAGCCGCCGTCTAGGTCACTTTGGCTCACCGGCGCTTTTTGAGCACAGTTCAGTTGCATCTTGTCGTCGAGCACGTGCATGCGACTGTGGGTGTTTCTGGACACCCTCTGTATAAGGTCAGCATACTCGGGAGTGGTCACAATCAGCTTGGAGTTGGTGTCGTTGGCATAGTAAAGGAGGATGTTTTTCGGGTGGAGAGGGCTTAGAGGTACAGCTAAAATTCGAATAATAGTTAATCAAGCTTGTCAAGTACATTAGAAATAGGATTTTTATTTAATATTGGATGGATATCTTCAGTGATGTGAAATAACAGTCATCAGTGGCGGATTTACCGGTACGCTTAGTATGCTCAAGCTTAGGGCCCCGACCCTTGCAGGGGCCCCCGAGGGGCCCTGGCATTGCATGACTGTTTTCCCATATCATTCGTTTGTATAGATGAAATAATGATTGAAATGAATTTCTCTCTTGAGCAATAGGTATTTATTTTATATACCTAGAAGCAGCGGCAACATTCCAAAAATGTTGAAAACCATAAGCAGGGTCCTGCCGATCTCATAGCGACAGTGGGCCGGTTAAGGGAAAGAAAGTTGCTTAAATCCGACAAAAGTTCAATAACTTCCTCGATATGGCATTTTGCAAACTGAAAAAAAAACATGTGCCGTTTCGATTTAGATAAAATATCAACAGTAAAAACAAAATGATTTTCTGTTTTTTCATTCCAATTTTTCAGGAACGGCAATTTTTTTCATCTGCAAAACGTATACCGTTGAGGAAATAGTAATAATGTTCCTATGAAATCGGCGGGACCCTATATACTGAAGGAATGATGGACGTGTTTTTCAATGCAAAAATACTACATTGAACTTGTTTTCAACACTGCCATCAGTGACCAATTGCGGAGGAGAGCGTTTATTTTCAAAATTATCAATAATCAAATCAAATTGTGTACCTTATTCCGAAGAGAACATAACAAACTTTGGGAATGCTTTCCATCGGAAGTGATTTGATGAGCAGTTCGATTTATGATGGTGCAATGAAAGTATTCGCAGATTCGTGAATCAGAAAATTGGAAGTGATATCGTAGTATGTTTCTCCACCGAATTCTCCTAGTAATCTCGTTACGGTTTAGTTCTTTCATTTTGAACGTATTTGATCCTAGTCAGTGTTATAGTTACGTTCATTTTATTTCATGTGGCTCTGATTTTTTTTATTTGTTATTATATCCTAAACCATATCAATGAATGCATTTTTTTTTGTTCCTTATATCCTATATATTTTCATCATGCATTTTTCGCTTCTATTTGGTCAGAAAATGTTAGATGGGAAAATTGGTGAGAAGAAATAACAGGAGGAGAGAAAATGATGGGTAGGGGCCACAAGGGCCCCAAGAATTATCAAGCTTAGGGCCCCAGAAATCGTAGATCCGCCAGTGACAGTCATTCATGCATCGTGACCATGGCCAGTCATATGGTCATCATTTATGTCATTTGTGGTTATTTATCACAGAAATGCGTGAGATCAACACCAGCATTAATGACATACATCTAAATTATAATAATTGAAAGGAAAAGTTTACATGTTCGCTGATGACACTACATTGATTTATTCCGCAGACTCAATACAACAAATCAGAAATGCAATTGAAAGTGACTTGACTATTTTATCTTCATGGTTGTCCTATAATAAATTGAATATAAATTACAGCAAATCAGCATTCATGTATATCTCTAAACGACGCCTCTCAAGTGAACTGAAATTTGATATCAAATTTAATAATGAAATCATCAAATATTCCACAGCCATAAAATTCCTTGGGATATTCCTTGATGAACATTTGTCATGGTCCAAACATATTGAATCGATCAGAAAGAAAATATCTCCAGTAATCGGAGTACTCTACGGGATCAGACACCAAATCACTTTGAAATACTTGAAATGTATATATTTTTCCTTGGTTTATTCAAAATTACAATACTTGATTTCAGTTTGGGGTAACAGCTATAGGTTATCAATTATAAAGCCAATCAAAATCCTTCAAAACAAAGTTATTAAATGTATATACAAACTAGATTACTTTTAACCAACAAGAAATCTTTATAAACCTAGGCAATTGTTAGATATAAACTCCATTTACAAATTCAAAATATTAAATTTCATCCATTCCTTCGAATATAATTATAAACATTCAAATCTGAATTTTGAAGTCAATAGTCATAAACACGAACACATAACCATCAGACAAAAAGATATGTTAACTCTCATCAAAATTAAATTAAATTAAAGATCTATTTTATACAATGGAACAATTCTCTATAATGAATTACCTGTCAGACTGAAGAAAAAATTGAGTGTTGAGAAATTCAAAAAAGAACTGAAAAAATATTTGTCTTTGATTCTCTTATGTCATCCTAAATCAATTCAAGAACTTAAACAGTCTCTAGAAGCAGAGATTATGCTAGAAGTCTAGAAGAAACAACATTATATGTACCATGTATATGATTTAAAAATAATTATCTGATTATCTAATTTTTTTATTCATAATTTTCCCTGCTATAAACATATATTCTTGGAAATAATAAAGATTATTATTATTATTCTATTTCAATACGTTTCAATATTTATATTGAAAAAAATATGAACTTAGAACATAAACAAGAAACGGAATATGAATGATAGTTATTGAAATTAAGAAATTCTTATAGTCAATCGACTTGAAATTTATTCTGCGACTGTGTCGTCTTCCTCTTCATCTTCATCCATTTCATCTTCGTCAACATATCAGCGTCTAAAAGTCTCCTCAATTCCTCGGTGAAGTTCATCGACTTTGTCTTCAACTATTTCTGATTCTAATTGTGATGATCCCTCTTAATATATCTGAGTCCCGCATCTCTATCGGCTGTGGTATGATGATAATGTTGACATCATACTCAGGAAATGTGATTTTTTTCAGCAGACCTGTCCCCTAATAAATTTATGAGTGTTATGATTCACATAAGTGGGCAGTGAGCTCTGGTTGTTGTCAACTTGTTCCTATTTTTTTGAATGAATGAAGCCCTGAGCAACTGAACGATCTCTCTGTGGACGCTGATGTTGGAAGCATACTGAGAATAGCCTCAATACTTTTCATACTGGCCAGCACATTCTTCCTGTTTAATTTTGAGGATAAATGACTCACGGTCATTTTCAATGTGACATGACAGTCATGACTGGCCATGACAACTGTCTTGACACGGTCATATAACCCACTCACATCTCTGGATATCTTAATAAATCATTCAATAATGTGACTTTTATTACAGAAGTAATTTGTTACTGTGTTATTCATTTGATAAAGCAGGTAGTATTAAGAATGATGAACTTATCCTGCAACTTCTAATGGTTATAAACGAGATAAGATATAATCCTTTCTATTTCAAGAAATATCACAATCATATTCAACAAATATTATTCAAGACAACCAAATATCAAAACTTTATCACCATCTCATAATTGGCTGGTATTTTGTTATAATATCAACAGTAGAATTGAACCTTTTGCAAACTTTCATGAAAATGAGTTCAGTTAGGAAGTGAACTAATTTGTATGAAACCCTTGATATCAATTTTATGCACGTCTGGCAAGAATAATTTTCCTATAGAGAAACCGTGTAAGGAAATAAATACGTATATAGATCCATGGGTATTTAACAAAGAAGGGAAAAAGCGTCGATGCCCCACTTACTTGAATATGGCACGTGTGGCAAACGATAATCCCTTCGGTCGGGCCGAGAAAATAACTCGCTCGATGAAGGACTCAACTCGTAACGAAGGGTTTGGCAACGTCGCTTTTTTCTCTTTTCGTTAAAATGCCAATGCCCATATACACATTTCCTTTATAGAAACATCATTCTTGCCAGACGTGTATATCCCCAAAATTATGTTTTCCACATGGATATGGCCTCGCAAATACAAAATAAGCTTATCAAACAAAGTGTCACTTTCAATCCTAATAAAACAATCGACCATTTTCTAAATTGAATTTAGAAGTGCTTTGGATAGAAATTTTGAAGGAGTGTGCCGTGTTTGCTACAACATTCATTTTATGGACCTGAGTGTATCATCAGGTTTAATATGAGGAAGTAAAAGTTGATTTTACCTGATATATGCGAGGATGCAAATACGAATTTCAGAAGATATTAGAGAGTTGAAGTAATCACTGTACGTAGACCTCCACGTAGACGTTAACGTACGAAAAATAACGTTTACGTATTGTCGTTAAACTGAGTTGAAGTCACCACTTTGGTCGTCACTGTCATCATAACGTAATAATACATTTTGTTTTCGGTTTGTATTGGTAATTTTTTGTTGTGTGTTTAGATTCGAACATTTATTCCTGTCAAAATTAGAGGACTCCTTTGATGCAGAACTCGTTGGTGATCTCGAATTTGATAATTTTGACTCATTGGCATATTTCGAGTATAGTGTGGTTAACGTACGTTGATATTTAAGGTATACGTGAAGGAACGTGAGATAACGTACACCCGTAAGCCCACTAACAACGCAAACGTGAAGAATTGGAAAATGCGCATGCGTAGCTGTCAATTTCTACGTTTACGTTAACGTTCATGACAACACTTCTATTAGAACCAAAGGTTAACATAATAAACTGAAACTAGTGGAACAAATAAAGGTTGCATGAAATCATATTATCTAAACTACTAGGTATATTCCTCGGTATAAGAGGAAAGATGATGTTTTTTGTTTGAGAACTTCGAGGGGGATGATGAAAAAACGAAGGCAGAAAAATTCGAGCATCCCCAGTAGCACAGAATATCGGCTGCAAATCGGCTCTGCATTGGCCCAATATTTGAATATCGTAAATCGGTCGGATGATATTGTAACGATATTGGATAAATGAGCTGGACGGATCAATATGAATACAATGTTGATAGGCTTACATTTTTCAGGATCTTGAGAATCCTACATTGTATCGATATTCATAATGACATATGTGATGAAATCTATATTCCTCCTATATCCTGATGATTTATGTCTCGATATTGATAAATCTTCATGATAGATATATTGATTGCCTGATATCAGTTCATATTACAACTGGATATGTAACCTATATCGATAGAATGGATCTTGGAGGATATTGCAATAAAACATCAGGTTCAATATCGTCACGTGGACTTCTTGATTTCATATATGTATTCCATATCGAATACAAAAC